GAAGAGTACTGGGAGTCCCCCCCCCTGCTAATGGGATGCAATTGATTGCAAGAGATAAAAACTGGTCAGAGCGACATGTACGGTAGGTCCTTGAAACTCAACCTAGTCCCCTAATGGAGACAAATGTGATTTCAACAGGACCGTCCTTCCGCACGAAAACTGGAATAGTACTGGGAGTCCCCCCCCTGCTAATGGGATGCAACTGATTGCAAGAGATGAAAACTGGTCAAAATGCGACATCTACTGTAAGTCCTGGAAACTTAACCTAGTCCCCTAATGGAGACAATGTGATTTCAACAGGACTGTCTTTCCGCAGGAAAACTGGAAGAGTACTTGGATTCCCCCCCCTGCTAATGGGATGCAATTGATTGCAAGAGATAAAAACTGGTCAGAGCGACATGTACGGTAGGTCCTTGAAACTCAACCTAGTCCCCTAATGGAGATAAATGTGATTTCAACAGGACTGTCATTCCGCAGGAAAACTGGAATAGTACTGGGAGTTCCCCCCCCCTTCTAATGGGATGCAACTGATTGCAAGAGATAAAACTGGTCAAAATGCGACATCTACTGTAAGTCCTGGAAACTTGACCTAGTCCCCTCGTGGAAAAAATGTGATTCCAACAGGACCGTCTTTTCGCAGGGACTTCACCATCTGTGCTACAAATAGACAAACCATGTTGTAGTAGTTTTTATTTTACATAAAACTTTACATAAAAACTTTAAATAAAACTTTACACTATACTTTACTCTACGCTACTAAAAATTTACAGAATATTACAAAAGATAAAATTTATTTCTCCCAATTTGATATAAACCAGTAGACTTCCATATTTTTGATTTTGAAACATGAACTCTATCCCACCGGAAACCCAACCACCCCCCTCCCACTTTACCTTAGAGTCCAAGTTTCTCCACCAAAAATATGGGTCGGCCAACAAAAGTCCACAAGTAAATATCAAACTGGGAGGCGCCCCCCATCCCTATGCAAAACCAGGAAGGAATACTTAACTTAGGTAGCAGGAACGCAGGAACGCAGCTGTTGTCTCGGTTGTGTCGTTGGTCATCGGGCTCCTCATCTCCAAGCTGAAAGGGAACCTGAAAACAGAGGAACTAACCTGTTGTAATAATTGAATAGAAAAAAGTACTTACTTTGGTGCTTTGGTGACAGGAACACGAACACCTCTCGCCCATGATACTGTTTACGTGGACCGGACCTGATGGCTCAAAGTTGTCGAAAGACTGATCCAGCTGTCGCCCTAACTTGGTGTGTTTGCTGCATCTCTCTCATAGTTGTACCTGAAAGATACAAGATAAGAAAATGAAAAATACAAGGATGCAACTTGGTCGAGTCACTTCCAATACAAGCGGAGGAGGGAATGCAAAGACATTCCTTTCATTGACTCTAGTAAATCTGTCATAGCCTTATACCCCTCCCGGCTCAAGATTTATATCATCAAGTCAACTAACTGCTTGGGCAGATGTAACTCTGTAGGAAGAATGGAATAGTTGAGCATATGTATATTCTTTAAGAACACAGACCACATGTGAAAATAATGAAACATGGCTTCATGGTACATCTGTACATTAAGTGAAATCAAGGCAGTCCTCTTTTAGTGTATTTCTTAGAAAAAACGTTGCCAAACATACATGTGCCAACAATGGGATTAGAATCCAAACAATTGAAAAATGTGTCGTTGTGGAATAACCGTACTGAACCAGAGAGCAAAATCATCAAATGATAGAACTGATTATGTGTTACAGTACCTTTAACAAGATGGTATGTAGATATAAATGCTGCAGATAGGTAGGACAAATTGCAGATTCTCTGTGGTTTTCCTTTTGTGTTTCTTTTTGTTCTCTCCAAGGCAACAGGTATGTAGATCACAAATGCTGCAGGTAGGTAGCACAAATTGTAGATTCTCTGTGGTTTTCCCTTTGTGGTTCTTTTTGTTCTCTAAAAGGCAAGAGGACTGCACCTGAAAGTACATTTAAGGAAAAGATCAGCGATGGTTCAATTAAAAAGAAAGCAACCCCGAAACTAAGCCCACAATTTTAACATGAAAACCCAAAAGAAAAGACCCTTCAATCTACAACTGTAGCTAAAATGAACACAAGACTTCAGACCTTCAAAATTTAGATCTGGAGTAGTACTTGAAGTCAACTTTAAAATTGAATCATTACTGAGTAAGTACTGGTCAAAGAAATACAATACAATACAAAAAAACAAAACAATACAAAACTATACAATACAATACAATACAATACCAAACAATACAATACTAAGCACTAGATCCATGATCTTGGTCATCTGGTTCGTTGCTTGTCTGGTTCGTTGCTTGTCTGGTTCGTTGGTTGTTTGGTTCGTTGGATGGAGTGTTGATTAGTTTGTTGATTAATTAGTTAGTTGGTTGGTTAGTTTTAACCTATTGGGTGGTCTGGTGGTTGTCTGGTTGGTTAGTTGGTTGGTTAGTAAGTAAGTTAGTTAATAGATTAAGCCTATTGGGTCATTGGTTGGTCGGTTGGATGTTCAGTAAGTTGGTTGGTTGGTTGGTTGTCTGGATGTTTGACTTCCCCCCAAGAAAAACTGGAATAGTACTGGGAGCAGCCCCCTGCTAATGGGATGCAACTGATTGCAAGAGATAAAAACTGGTCAAAAGCGACATCTACAGTAAGTCCTTGAAACTCAACCTAGTCCCCTAATGGAGACAAATGTGATTTCAACAGGACTGTCTTTTTGCAGGAAAACTGAAAAACTACTGGGAGTTCCCCCCCTGCTAATGGGATGCAACTGATTGCAAGAGATAAAACTGGTCAAAATGCGACATCTACTGTAAGTCCTTGAAACTCAACCTAGTCCCCTAATGGAGACAAATGTGATTTCAACAGGACTGTCTTTCCGCAGGAACACTGGAAGAGTACTGGGAGTCCCCCCCCCTGCTAATGGGATGTAATTGATTGCAAGAGATAAAAACTGGTCAGAGCGACATGTACGGTAGGTCCTTGAAACTCAACCTAGTCCCCTAATGGAGACAAATGTGATTTCAACAGGACCGTCCTTCCGCACGAAAACTGGAATAGTACTGGGAATCCCCCCCCCCCCTGCTAATGGGATGCAACTGATTGCAAGAGATGAAAACTGGTCAAAAGCGACATCTACGGTAAGTCCTTGAAACTCAACCTAGTCCCCTAATGGAGACAAATGTGATTTCAACAGGACTGTCTTTCCTCAGGAAAACTGGAAGAGTACTTGGATTCCCCCCCCTGCTAATGGGATGCAATTGATTGCAAGAGATAAAAACTGGTCAGAGCGACATGTACGGTAGGTCCTTGAAACTCAACCTAGTCCCCTAATGGAGATAAATGTGATTTCAACAGGACTGTCATTCCGCAGGAAAACTGGAATAGTACTGGGAGTTCCCCCCCCCTGCTAATGGGATGCAACTGATTGCAAGAGATGAAAACTGGTCAAAAGCGACATCTACGGTAAGTCCTTGAAACTCAACCTAGTCCCCTAATGGAGACAAATGTGATTTCAACAGGACTGTCTTTCCTCAGGAAAACTGGAAGAGTACTTGGATTCCCCCCCCTGCTAATGGGATGCAATTGATTGCAAGAGATAAAAACTGGTCAGAGCGACATGTACGGTAGGTCCTTGAAACTCAACCTAGTCCCCTAATGGAGATAAATGTGATTTCAACAGGACTGTCATTCCGCAGGAAAACTGGAATAGTACTGGGAGTTCCCCCCCCTTCTAATGGGATGCAACTGATTGCAAGAGATAAAACTGGTCAAAATGCGACATCTACTGTAAGTCCTGGAAACTTGACCTAGTCCCCTCGTGGAAAAAATGTGATTCCAACAGGACCGTCTTTTCGCAGGGACTTCACCATCTGTGCTACAAATAGACAAACCATGTTGTAGTAGTTGTTATTTTACATAAAACTTTACATAAAAACTTTAAATAAAACTTTACACTATACTTTACTCTACGCTACTAAAAATTTACAGAATATTACAAAAGATAAAATTTATTTCTCCCAATTTGATATAAACCAGTAGACTTCCATATTTTTGATTTTGAAACATGAACTCTATCCCCCCGGAAACCCAACCACCCCCCTCCCACTTTACCTTAGAGTCCAAGTTTCTCCACCAAAAATATGGGTCGGCCAACAAAAGTCCACAAGTAAATATCAAACTGGGAGGCGCCCCCCATCCCTATGCAAAACCAGGAAGGAATACTTAACTTAGGTAGCAGGAACGCAGCTGTTGTCTCGGTTGTGTCGTTGGTCATCGGGCTCCTCATCTCCAAGCTGAAAGGGAACCTGAAAACAGAGGAACTAACCTGTTGTAATAATTGAATAGAAAAAAGTACTTACTTTGGTGCTTTGGTGACAGGAACACGAACACCTCTCGCCCATGATACTGTTTACGTGGACCGGACCTGATGGCTCAAAGTTGTCGAAAGACTGATCCAGCTGTCGCCCTAACTTGGTGTGTTTGCTGCATCTCTCTCATAATTGTACCTGAAAGATACAAGATAAGAAAATGAAAAATACAAGGATGCAACTTGGTCGAGTCACTTCCAATACAAGCGGAGGAGGGAATGCAAAGACATTCCTTTCATTGACTCTAGTAAATCTGTCATAGCCTTATACCCCTCCTGGCTCAAGATTTATATCATCAAGTCAACTAACTGCTTGGGCAGATGTAACTCTGTAGGAAGAATGGAATAGTTGAGCATACATGTATGTATATTCTTTAAGAACACAGACCACATGTGAAAATAATGAAACATGGCTTCATGGTACATCTGTACATTAAGTGAAATCAAGGCAGTCCTCTTTTAGTGTATTTCTTAGAAAAAACGTTGCCAAACATACATGTGCCAACAATGGGATTAGAATCCCAACAATTGAAAAATGTGTCGTTGTGGAATAACCGTACTGAACCAGAGAGCAAAATCATCAAATGATAGAACTGATTATGTGTTACAGTACCTTTAACAAGATGGTATGTAGATATAAATGCTGCAGATAGGTAGCACAAATTGCAGATTCTCTGTGGTTTTCCTTTTTGTGTTTCTTTTTGTTTTTTCCAAGGCAAGAGGTATGTAGATACAAATGCTGCAGGTAGGTAGCACAAATTGTAGATTCTCTGTGGTTTTCCCTTTGTGGTTCTTTTTGTTCTCTCCAAGGCAAGAGGACTGCACCTGAAAGTACATTTAAGGAAAAGATCAGCGATGGTTCAATTAAAAAGAAAGAAAACCGAAACTAAGCCCACAATTTTAACATGAAAACCCAAAAGAAAAGACCCTTCAATCTACAACTGTAGCTAAAATGAACACAAGACTTCAGACCTTCAAAATTTAGATCTGGAGTAGTACTTGAAGTCAACTTTAAACTTGAATCATTAATGAGTAAGTACTGGTCAACGAAATACAATACAATACAAAACAAAACTATACAAAACTATACAATACAATACAATATCTTCCAGTTTTGCACAAAGAGTGCACTTATGTGCCTAGAAAAGACTTGTGAAAATAATGTTTTGAAAAGTGTATAAAAACAAATTCAGTAAAAAAATTCAGAAAATTTTACAATTTTTTTTCACTGAATTTTCTCGTTTTTTATACATTTTACAAAACAAATCTTCTCACAAGGCTTTTCTAGGTTCATTAGTGCACTCTTTGTGCAAACCTGGAAAATGTAGACAATTTGAGGAAGGAGTTATTTGTGTTTGAAAAATAACATGTGACTCAATTGAGGAATGCAGAAAATTTCCCAATATGCACCCTAGTATGTATCCAACAGACTGACTAGAAGTCAGTCTGTTATGATTTACTTCTTTCCTGTGGAAATTGCAGTGAATTTTTTGCACAAAATTATCAATTAGAGGAACTATTTCTTCAATAAAATAAACATTACAAAATTTCAATTAAATAGTAAGGTACAATTAAATGCAATAAAAAGTAACACAGCATATTGTCAAGTGGATATAAAGCTAGTTGAAGTAAAAATGTGCAAATTGATTTTACCCTATCGGCCATTTTGAATAGCACTTCCTATGTAAACAAATATTTAGAATTACCAAACTTCAACATAGGTGCCTTATAGTCTGAATATAATTCAGACTAAATAGGATATAGTCTAATATGCACCCTGGCCTTAGCTTATTCTTTCCAAACAACATTTTTGCCCGTGCTATTTTCTGGAACAAAATAAATAAAGTATGAAGACGTGTGTGTATTGCCCTGCTTTTTTAGGAAAGTAGCATCAGATTGTCTTCTCTAAGTAAACATAGTATAAACCGACTATAAGTGGTCAATCCAGTATTATTGAGAAGCTTGGAGTAGAGATTTAAAGTCCATTTCACTGCTTCAGTTCGTCAGTAGAACGGCAAAAATAAGAAATTGGGAGACCATTGTGCAATAATATATGGAAAAGTATATTCATAATGTACATGAATGACATTTGTATATCTTGGATTGCTTCTACAGTTGGGGACAAAAATAAATGACAGGTCGATTTTCGATCACCATTTCCTAATTATGGTGGTCTGAAAGCCCATAATTTCCAATATTGTCTAGATACATATCCCTTAAAATTTGTATATTTTACATTTTGTATAATCACATCCACTGATTTATGGCTTCTTGTAAATTCTCTTATTTTTAACATGGGAAATCCTCACTTCAGCAAATCCACCTGTCATTTATTTATGTCCCCAACTGTAGTTTGGCTTATAAAATATGTGGCCTCTTATATTTGGATGTTTCTCTGCCATGTTATTTTCAATAAGATTAACATGGCTGAAATTCTTCAAATTACAAGACGGCACAGGCTTATTGCACAAAAAACTAAAAAATCTGAAATATACAAATGTCATTCATGTACATTATGAATATACCTTTCCATATATTATTGCACAATGGTCTCCCAATTTCTTATTTTTGCCGTTCTACTGACGAAATGAAGCAGTGAAATGGACTTTAGAAAATTGTAAAGGTGGTCATTTTGAATGATTTTTCTTTAGATTTCAGCATTTCATGGAGTTGCCAATTACCTGCTACCAGGTTTACTAAAAAAATACATTGCAAGGATACTTTCCTGAAAAAGCAAGAATTTACACACATGCCTTCATACTTTATTTTGTACCAGGAAATAACATGGGCAGGTACAGTGTAGCATTCTTTCCAAGATGATGTATGGAAAGAATAACCTAGCCATAGGAAATATCCATACCGTTGTCGTGGTCCTGCATGACACTATCATTCGTACCTTGTAGTTTGTGTTTTACCTATTGCTTAGTTTTCTTCGTCTGGAAGCACTGCATGCTTTTAGCCACTTGTTATAGTTTATAACTTTTGTTTAGTCCCATACTGGTACTTTTCCCTCATACTTTGTTTTTCCATTTCTTACAATGTGGCTATGGTTGTCCAATTATGAAATCATCCAGATCCAAATTTAGATGCCAATCGATCCAGATCTGTGTTATTTTCGTTTTTACGTATCGGCATTTTTCAACTTCGAAAATTCCTTTGTTCTTATTTGTATAATGAATGCTCATAGGGTTTTAACCCCGTGATCAGACGTTAGGTGGTCTGTTGAGATTGACCAATGAACACCGCCGCGCGAGAAATTGCTGTAATCGAACGCATCAGTTTTAAGCGTCTGGTATCAGTTCAAAATAATGATTTTGAAAACGTTATCCAAAGAGTGATTGCGTTCAAAGAATACATGTACAACAGCCAATATAAATCTTTGTATTAGAAACCGGTTTGTCTTGCTTTGTTTCATTTGTAGGATATTTCATATGCCAAGCTGTGTGCTATTACGTTATGGGGAAATTTAGATGCCAATTTTTCCTTATTATACACAAATAGAAGATCCTGAAACTTCACCCATAAATTTGGAATTGATTTGTCAAAATAAAAATCACCCTTTTATAAATGTGTGACGATCTATAATATAATTATGCTATATAACAGTTAGAGGTGTTGACACAACGACCTCGAACCTGTGAACCCTTGAGTATTATTCCGGGATGGGGCCTTTTATACTAAACGGTGAGCAACACCAGACACGAGCGTTCGATTTGCTAAACGATATGCGTCACCCTTTAAGTTCAATTGCATTGTTACGCATATATTGGGACCAGGTTCTATAATTTGCCCCATTTAGCATTCTTTTCTCCCAAAATATTTTTTGACGTTGTAAAATTGATTAGGGTACTTTTGATAGCATTCTAAAATGATATGAGCGAAACATAGGACAACATATTTGGTATGTCGAGAATGCTCATAGCCCATATTTAATGATTTTTAGTGATTTTTGATTCAGTTGAGTTTAACATATTTAGTTGCTATGTAGGCCTATGACATTTTCCTTTGAACGTGTGTGACATCAAATGTCACATCTCGGCTTTTTTCCCTCTGAGTTTGAGGGTATGAGTAAACGAAATTCGAAAATTCTGAACATTACTTTGCACATATGGCGTTCGTGACCAACTATGAAACGCTCATCCATCAAAATGTACCTATGAAGCACCAAATATCATCTTAAAATTGCCAGCCCTCACATCCCCGAGAAACAAAGCGTTTTTTTTGCCAAAAAGCCTTGAAAGAAAACGTTTTACCCAAAAAATGTCTCGAAACAAAGCGTTGTTTGCGAAAAAGCCTCGAATTAAAACGTTTTAACGGTTTCTAGCGGAAGAAAGCCTCGAAACAAAGCGTTTTTCGCCAAAAAGCCTCGAAAAAACGTTACTAAGCAAAAAAGCCTTTTTTGGCATGAAGGCTCGAAATAAAACGTTTCTAACGGTTTTTGATGGAAAAAAGCCTCGACACAAAGCGTTTTTTGCGAAAAAGCCTCGAAATAAAACGTTTTTACCCCAAAAAGCCTCGAAACAAAGCGTTTTTCGCGAAAAGCCTCGAATTACAACGTGTTAACGGTTTCTAGCAGAAGAAAGCCTAAAAAACAAAGCGTTTTCGCCCAAAAGCCTCGTAATAAAAACGTTACTAAGCGAAAAAGCCTCGAAATAAAACGTTTTAACGGTTTAGTAGCGAAAAAACCTTAAAACAAAGCGTTTTTTTGCCAAAAAGTCTCGTAATAAAACATTTTTACCCAATTAAAGCCTCGAAACAAAGCGTTTTTTGCCAAAGAGCCTCGTAATAAAACGTTTTCAACGGTTTTTAATGGAAAAAGCTTCAAAATAAAGCGTTTTTTTTTGCCAAAAAGCCTCCAAATAGAACGCTTTTAATGGAAGAAAGCCTCGAAATAAAAAGGTTTTACCTAAGAAAGTCTCTAAACAAAGCGTTTTTTGCCACAAAGCCTCGAAATAAAACGTTTTTAATGAAAAAAAGCCTCGAAACAAAGTGTTTTTTGCCAAAAATCCTCGAAATAAAACGTTTTTAACGGTTTTCAATGGAAAAAGGCCTCGAAACAAAGCGTTTTTTGCCAAAAAGCGATTTTGAGTTCTAGTTCTTGAATATCTACATTCGAATTATATTCATTTATAAATGAAAAGTTGGTCTTAAGGTGAAAATATGTCTATAAAAAATCAAATGTCAATGTCAAATCGTAAATTTGATAAATATTACAAAATGTAGCAAACTGGAAAGCACATTAAAATCATACGACAGTCGCGCGGACGTATAAGTACAGCCGTGCACGTTCTCCAAATGACTCCAGCTTTTTCCATTGTTGGTAGTGGTTACATTATTGTTAACGTGCACTGGCGGATCTGGGGCCGGGGGGGATGGGCCTGGATGGGCCAAGAAAAAAAATTGGGCCAAGAAAAAATGGGCCTTTAAAGACCTTGTGGCCCCAAAAGATGGGCCTTTCGGTCATTACTGGGCCTTTAAAGGCCTAATTTTTTAATTTCAGGCCAAATTTTGAAGAAAACGGGCCTCAAAATTTCAAATTTTGGGCCCACTTTTCGGTTTTAGGGGCCCAACATTTTTTCCCGCGGAAGTTTTTTTCTATGGACTGAAATTTGGCCCGCCCGCCCCTTATTGCTTCCCAGATCCGCCCCTGACATGGATAAACTGCATCTGGAGGGATCATTTCGTGCGATCATCAGTGCTATCGTAATCAGCGCTTGTAGCAAGGCGATCGTAGTTTTCCTACGCTCGCCGCAGAAATTCACTGATTTAATTGATCTGCGTTCGACTTACGGCCGCCGTTCGACAAATGTGACTGGGGTGTTACTTACAACTTTTTGATTTACCCATCCTATTACTTTTTGGACACCCCGTAATTGTTATTGTAATTGTATTGTGAAAGGATAATATGTTAAAGGATTTAAGCCCAAGACTCAATGCAAGACTCAATGCATTGTTTGCTGAATCATACCATGAAGGTGTTGTTTCCAAACAAGTTTAGGAAACAACGCCTGAGTGGAATGAAGTGCATTGACTTCTGGGCTTAAATTCTTTTCACACATTGCATTTTTTCTATAAAATCATTTAAAAGGAACGAAATCACTAGAAGAACACATTTTCAATGAAATGTTTTGTAAGGGTCAAGTCGGCAAGTCATCAAATCCAATGTGAAAACTCCATTCATCACCATGACAACTGTAAACTAGTGACCTTGCATGTGTTATTGATATTTCACACGCTGTTCATTATGTGAATACTCTGTTCGGATTAGCTGGAATCGGACACACCTTGAATAGCTATACTATGTGTGAATAATTTTTTAAGCATTTTAATGTCCATATATTTTGATTTTGCAATTATTTATCTTATAAACTTTCATTGGAATCAATGTGAATCTGAATTAATGAAGCAATGTACATGTAGGTAGAATGTTTTATCGTTTAAGGGGCGCAGGAGAATACTTACAGTACTTATCTTCATACCTGGACTTTTTGTAAGTATATGTATGTCTTCACTGTCCTGTAGATTACCTCATTATAGATTCCTCTGGGATGAACATATTATAATTTCAGATTATTAGAATGGAGGACATTAGAGGAGTTACTCCCGAGAAAAATCCAACTCGAGTTCAACTTGCCAAATATTTCATGAGTAAGGCGCATCGTTGACATAAATATCCACGGTAGACATCCTATACATGACTTTCCATTTTCATATATTTGTCTCACAATATTTTAAGGTTTATCTCGTAATGATCCAGTATATATCTAGATGCAACTACCTATTAAGCGCATTTTAGAAATATGATGACATTAAAAAGACAGTAAAGCAAGGAACTATAGGTGAAGAGCGATTTGAGAAACATTCTGCACCAAACATTCTGGGCCAATCTGTAGTGGAGTATAGGTCGGTGGTCTGTCGTGCTCCGAACTAACGCCTCTTCCCCGAGATTCACCTGTTGTTCATTGTGATACTTACCTGTGAATCCTGTCAAACAGATACATGTATATATGAGGTGTCCATCTCTGCAGGTTCCATCATTCTGACACTGGTGTCCAATACAATCATTCACACTTATGACACAATCAGTCCCCTCCCAGCCTAAAATCAAGACAAATCGTGTGCAGGCACAAACATTGCAGCTTCACAAAAATTCTTAACACAAAGTAGCCTTGAGAAATGCGCTAACTTGCAATTGAGGAGGCCCCTCCACTGTGGACAAAGGGTTATCGTTATGTTTAGTTTTTTTGGGTATGTGCCCTTAAAGACAATCTTTATGACGAACTGTAGTGATAATGTTGCATTATCACTATAATGGAAACCATAATTAATTACCATCAATATATCTACCATTCTTTTGGTTAAACAGTCATGATACTAAATTGGCAAATCTACATGACCAAACATTTGAATGATCTGGCCTCATTCTTAATTCACGTGTATTATTTTAAATCCAGTGAAGCCAATTTGGGAATTTAATACAGACACGTCTGTCAGAAAGTTAGAGATTCGATTATGAAAGACAAACCAGCCATGCAAATCTTGTTGCCATTCTGATCACAGGTGTAGTGCCCCCTGGAATCATCATGTTCAGAGCAGTAGATGGAACAACTGCTGCCGTAGTAGTTACTATCACAGTAGACCTTGAACTGCACTGTTAACCTGAAGAGGAAAATACTAAATCAAATCAAATAATTAAGGAAGCCAACATTTTAAGAATACTTTTGAATTTAAAAAATTGATGTAACTTCTTTCAAAACTGAGCTAGAAACTTCAAATAAAAAATCTTCAATCTTATGGTTCTATTTTAAGGGGTGGTAAAGGGGGTGCGATCAAACCCATCGCACCCCCTGACTACGCCTATTGATGGTTTTCCTCTCGGGAGATTTTTCAAATGTCTTGTCTTGTATGTAAGAGAGTTTTTCTTTTTCTGACTAGATAGAAAACGTGTAAGGTTTACAAACAGTAGTTTTAGGCCTACTTGGTTATAATTAACCAAAATGTACAGAGAGGTGCCAAGATTTACAAGTTTTACTTACTAATTTCTCAGACGCACTCACCATGCAACCAGATATTCTAATCAAAATAAATAATCAAGAAGTATACGCACTCAGTTCGTGTGCTCAGATCACCCAATATGGTAGTTTCTGTTACGAGGGCCTGGTCCTCACTTCTAGCCGGTGTAGCAGTGTAGACGTACTTAAGGAAATCAACTTTGTCGTGGTCGTTACCTTGTGCGTCATCGTCATCCTCTACATCGCATTTCAACTTAACACCTCCCTTATTAAAATTAATAAAGCACACAAGAATTTCGCAATAAAATTATTACCCTAGCTACTTACTTAATTTGCTTAACATTAAAGTGGTCGGTCTTGATATATGTGACATTCTGTATTCAAACATGAGTAAAAAATAAGGAACACGAATATGTACAATAATACATAAAAATGAGAAAGCCTCGAAAAACAGTGTACGACGTCATTGATAAAGCCCAATTTTCACACAGGGGGCGTGATCGAATGGCATAGCACAGATATTTCTTATTATACACTCAATGATGAATTATTTGGTCCTGCGATGTTCGTCATAATGATAAAGTAGCATAATTCAAAAGGGCAAGTGTTATCCAATCATTTAATTTTAACAGCTACAGATCCGAATAGTCTGTTGAAATGTTCAGAGAAGAATATCTGGGCATAGTTTTCTTAACGACTGTTTGGAGTGATTACCTCCCATCGATGCAGACGTAACAGTATTGGATTAGCAATACCTCCAATGTCATCGCCGAATGTGATGTCATTACTTTCAATGTGCCCATTCATCCTGTACTGCCCATAAGGACAGTTCCCGTAGTCATCCGAGCTGCAATAGATACACAATACACATAAAACACAAGAAGGGTGTGTAGAGCTGGAGATCACATGCAATTCAAAGGTCAGTTCAGAAATCAGAATCTGACTGATCGATTGGGATACAAAATCCAGTAGATTCCCTTGTCAGGGTACGCTTGAAGAAAGGAAACATAGTAATTAATATTGTTTAGTATTCTCAGAAACTTCAAACTAAACCCCGGGAGCTAAACATATCTCGTAGCTTTATTTTGGTCGCTCCTTTGACCAATGGTGCGATCTGTCTGCAATATCGTGTAGCGTGGAGATGGAGCAGATTCATTCGTTTTGACACGAGAGGCAACATTTGAATCTCGAAAGAATCACCTGATATAGTATACACGATGTCACTGGACAAAATGCTATGTACAGCATTATACATATAATCTTGCAGGTTCACCCGAAAGCCTTGCATATTCTCATATTAAATAAAAAGCTTGAAATGGTAGGATATGAAGGGGAGGAAGGGCCGTGTTGTAAGTGTCGTGAATTTACCAAAATCAAAGCAGTGACCCCAAGGGGCTTATTTGTTCTATTCTGTTATGATAATACAGCAAATCAAGTAACATACCCATATGTGTAGTCAAAACAGAAGATGAATCTATGGTCACATGGGTCATCATTGCAGTTCGCCCATGGCCATATATTGTCACAACACAATCCAAAGTCATTCTCTTTTCCAGTCGGGTTTTTGTACCGGACCATCCTTATATGGACTATTGTATTTCCTTCAACCAGTTGCAGTATCTGCAGATGAGAATTGATAGAAACTTTGATAAATAACGAAGTTATCTTAAAATATATGCGCCTAAGTCGATAAACTCTCCAGCACTATTTCATTTCTGAGATTTTAGGATTAACATTCTACAAACTTTCTTTTCATGTAACTAAACATGGGTCGTAGATCCCATTATTATATTAATATGAAAAATATAAAAGGTCACCTGTACTATAAAATATAGCCATATCACCACTATTGACCATCTAGTATTCGTAGCCATTTTGTAATAACGTAATCTACTTTGTCACATAATCCAAGACAAATGAGAATTCGATATTTATTTGGTAAGATTTAACCCCAGTGGTTTCTGTAACTAAGTTGTTTGTGGTATATTTTATTAAGTATTTCATTCTTTGTCAATAATATACGTTGTTCTCTTTTGATGTTTAGTACTGAGTAGTTATGGCAAGTCCATGTTGAGATTTATTGTATTTGATCTTTGATACACAATAATCACATCCTCTTATTGTCCTCGATGCTATCATTTGATTTATATTCGAGATGGTACTTGAAGTCGGATATGGAAACTTTAAATGCCAGCTAGATAGTCTTAACCTGATATACAGTGTATATTTCTGAAATTATTCGTTTTACTTTGCAAATGGTAATTTCTTGTCACACTACTCATCTCCACTCGTCATTTTTGCAACATATAAAGTTGATATGACTGACGCGGATCACTATAGGGGGCTCCCGCAAGGGGTATGTGACAAGGCGACCTGTTCTCTAAAATGGAACTAAATGTGACTTTGGGGGGGTATTTAAAAACGACCAAATGTGACAAATAAATGCTTGCAAGTGACAATTTTGAACATTGATCTGACTGACAAGTGTTTTGACAGTGACAAAAAAATAGAAAATTTGTTCTGAATGTAAATAGATGCAAGTTAAACATGACTTTATAATGTTCTGAAACCAATTATCAAACGATGGAACATAACCGACCATTTGTTGCACTAAATGCTTTGACTGACTAAAAAGGAGTGAATCTGACAAATTATGACAAGCATCCCAGATGCGAGTAGAAGTAATCTTGATTTACGTCATTAAAAATTCACAAATCAGTCAAACTGATGTCATATTTGGAATCTACATGTAAAGTTACATTTAGAAATGTGGTTTTGAAAAGAGTTTATCAACTTTGAAAAAATTTCCTTTGAAAATGTGACTTCTAGGTCGGGGAGATTCCCCATAGAGCCCATGTTGTAAAACCACAAAAAGTGAAATATCTTTTCTTGTGTTGGGCAGATAATATTTTCTTTTACTGGACATATTTTAATTTGTATAACTATCAGATACATTAAGGTAATATGAAAAGTGAACCATTAAAACTGATGCATATTCAAGTTTAGGGAATTTTTTAATACCCTGCCATGTTAATTCCCCCGAATCAGCCACCTGGTGGCGAAACTGGTAACTACCTACTCGCATCTGAGTAATTGCAACAAAGAGAAAATTTTGAAAGGAGCACGTAGGTTATCACAAACAATTTCAAACAATTCTAACTTGAATTATGAATATTTTCTGATCATGAACATGGGTGTATCTTTTAGATCCATTCATTATCTTCAAGAAAAGTATATATAATGATAATTTAGTTAATCAGACCTAAGTGATATTGAAGGGGCAATGGACCAATCAACATACTTTTACAAAAATGTTGACCTAATTTTCACCAAAAATGCAACCTATTATTATATTGTTGAATGCATAATTAGAATGTGCTTTGAGACATGTTCGATTTCCTAAAAGGAAAATTTGATTGCTCCAGAGACTTTAAAGATATTCAATTTGGATGACCAAAATGAACTAAAACCAATGGATAGCATGAGATTTTTCAATGGAGAAATAACATGGGGAACACTTATCTTAATGCAATTAAGTTTTTCTTTCAAGAACTATTTGATACATCAAAATAAAGAATAGTTATGCATTAAACATTGTTAAAAATGATTGCATTTTTGGTGAAAATGGGGTCAACATCTTCAAAATGGGGTCAAAAAGTGTGTTGATGGGTTATTTGCTAGTTAAATATCACCGAGTTTGTTTGAATTTATTTTTACTGTGCATAATTTTCTTTGAGATAATGAATTGATCTAAAAGATAAACTTGTCTTCATTGTCAGAAAATAGTCATAATCCAAAATATAACCTTCTGAAATTGTTTGCGATAACCCACGTGCTCCTTTTAAAAGTGACAAAAGCGACATCACTGCCCCCTCTTGGGGAGCCCTCTATAGTTTCAACGTAGCCTAATAGCGAGCCAATAGTCTGATTCATCCCTACTAGTCACAATACTGTACCGTTCTCCATGATGGAAGAATAGGCCATTTGTCCCATCAACTTTGACCTCAAAATATTAACAATGCATACATATATTATAGGAGAGACTAAAACTTCCTTTTACTGTGACTAGAGTCCATTTCACTGCTTCATTTCGTCAGTAGAACGGCAAAAATAAGAAATTGGTAGACCATTGTGCAATAATATATGGAAAAGTATATTCATAATGTACATGAATGACATTTGTATATTTCAGATTTTTTAGTTTTTTGTGCAATAAGCCTGTGTCGTCTTGTAATTTGAAGAATTTCAGCCATGTTAATCTTATTGAAAATAACATGGCAGAGAAACATCCAAATATAGGAGGCCACACACTTTATAAGCCAAACTAGAAGCAATCCAAGATATACAAATGTCATTCATGTACATTATGAATATACTTTTCCATATATTATTGCACAATGGTCTCCCAATTTCTTATTTTTGCCGTTCTACTGACGAAATGAAGCAGTGAAATGGACTCTAGTAGTCGTCAAGCAATTGTCTCAATCAAATATCAGACACCTGGTAGGTTTATACCTCTCAACTATTTCAATGCTACTTACAATTAAATTTATTGAGTTTTGAAGCAGTTATGAGTATGCTATAGACACGGCCTAGTACCACGCTGTTATACCATGGCGGTCACGTCAAGGCGATTTTCAAAATTTTGTCGGTAGGTTTACAGCTTATATTCTGTTTCTTGTAGACCACCTGGCAAATTTGACCCAGTCTTTATAACCATCCACATATACGTCACCGAATTGAACTAGTTTAAAAGGAAATCTTATCTGTGAATATTGCCTACAGGCGAGAAAGAGGACATGCTGCCTTTCCCATCCGCCATTTTTTTGTTATCGTTACCGCAAAATTTTGCAAATGGCCTTGACATAACCGTCATGCTATAACACCGTGGTGGTGTATATTGTAAATAATAAGGTTTCAATCACAATGTCGTTAGAGTCGGTTAGACGACTACGTATGAATTGTATTTGGCCAGTTTAACACTTTAACTTTGGGTATTGCACTAATACAAACTTTGCAGCAGTAAATAATTGCTGAAAATGTTGGTGTATTTTAGATGAGAAATAAATTGTTCTGCGTATAATCAGCAAATGTTCCAATTTTTGGCTACTTCGTATATAAAATGTACTATAGTATCCTTAAACAACAAAGGTGTTTTGACATATACTGTAACGAACCTGAAAAAAACAATTAGCGTACATGAGAATCAATCAATCAAGGCCTTCATAACTGCTTTATTATCCCTATGGTTCCTTAGAGTACAAATATTTGAACGATCTACCAAATGGATAAATCGATCCTAAAATCGGGCCCATTTTATGTTTGTAAAGACTAGAAATATTTTATAACTTGCAATTTATTATTCACTATAACTATCGCTTATAATTCGTAAAGGACAGGTAACGATATGTGAACTGAATTTAACAATGTTTTTCTCTTAACCCAATTATTGAAAACATTCTGTAAAAACACGGTCTTTTATGTAATGATGATTGATTGACAACAATTTAGTGCGAACATTATTTATACATATATTTGATATACCTGTTTTAGTTAACATTTTTTTCTTTTTAGTGCAATTGTTCTTTGTTCCTTTCTACCAATTCTTGAGAATGAAATAAAATATCTTTCCGAACCTTGTTGGAAAAAATAGCATATACTTCATTTTTTATTAGACCTCTCAATATTATAGTTATACAAAGGAAATTTTGGTTGATTTAACAAAAGGTATTCAAAAAGTTAAAAACAAAAACTCCCAAACTAGAAACAAATTAAGATAAACCCTTTATTTCATTAACAAGATACTTTTTTTCAAAATCTACCAAACTTTCCTTTGTACAATTACAACATTGAGATAGTCAACATTGTTCCGGTGAGGTTCGGATGGGTTTACGTAAAACACCGACCGCCGACCACCGACCACCGACCAGTCACTCTCCACAGTTGGGTACATGTGATCGGTGGTCGGCTGACGGTCTTTTACATAAAGATGAAAAAATGCAAAATTAGAAGTAAAACTAAAACTGGGAATCCAATGACTATAGTACCTTTACTTGGTCGTGATTTAAAAACGTATAATTATCATTTCAAATCACGATGAAAACGTTACATCGTCGTGGTGTGTAATGTCATATTTTTAAGTGATGTTTCAGTTGTTAGAAGACTAATTTCATCCTGGTTAGTCACTTTGAAAAAAAACGCACGTAACATTGCATTAAGTTCATTCTTCATTCATATGAAACGCAATAACAAAAACACACAAACATCGTCGATGTTGACGTCGTAACGTTATGTTTGATTTCTCAGTTGTTAAACGTCAACTGGTAAGAACTACATTTGATATGACAAAAAAAGCTTTCTAATGGTGTACTGAAATGGTAAGTCACTTTTTATCCCGATAAGAGAACGCATGTAACATTATATCGTGTTCAGTATTCAGTAGGCTATGACGATAACAAATCATTTTTGTTTCGAAATTGTTAAATTTCAGTAAAAAATTAGGATAGATTCCCGTAGAAACGATAGGTTGGTTAATGATAGGTTAGGACCTAAGGCAGGACAATTAATCGAGAGGAGACGGTCATGACCAATTTGTTTGCTTGCCATTCGTTGCAAGGTACAAAATCGGTAAAAAACGTTGCCTAGTCCAACGATTGACATTCAAAATCAAATTATTAATATTCTAATTTATTATTTTACATGATATGGTCGGTCTTTTACACATTTTCTTCAAACCCTGTTTTGAGGCTACCAGTGGAAAACACCGACCGGTCGGTGGTCGGTGGGGTCGGTCTTTTCCGTAAGCCCGGTTCGGATAGATGTTTCATTTCATTCCGAACATATGATACCAAGAACAAAAGAAGTGTCTGATGTGTTTTCCAAAACAATATAGAGAAAAGTATACATATTTTTTCAAATTACATTGTTACCATTCAGAAGATGACCATTAAATTGACAATGTGTGTTTTCAGAATTTATTGATGACTGGTTTAAAAGAAACGTGTGTTCAAAAAGTTCACCATATCAATACCAATCCTTTCAAACAAGTTGCTCCGTTTTTAATTACTTCGTGTAGAATTAGAAACTGCTGAAATTCCCTGAGAAGAAAACATTAAAACATTCAAAACATTAAAAAAACAAATTCGATAAAAATGTGTTTTCTAAAACAACATAGAGAAAAGTATAGGCCTTTATATCTACTTCAAATTATATTGTTACCATTCAAAAGATGACCATTAAATTGACGATGTGTAAAATTTTTTGATGACGTGTGTTCAAAAGGTTCACCATATCGATACCAATCCTTTGTACAAAGTACGTAGCCTTAGAGTCTCATAAGCAAGTTGTAAAATAGTTTGTTTATTGTCTATGTGTTATGTCTAAATAATTCGTGTTATTCGTCCCACCAAATATCCCAAATCCATTCATTCTCAAATTTCATTGGATGTGATATTGTTAGAATAAATATGGAGAAGTATTTTTGCTTGGAAATGGATTAATAAATGAAAACTGTTATTTTAACATACAATCTTTAATTCAAAAATACACATATGATATGTGACCAATCTCTAAACTATTTATAGGACTAGCAGAATATACCCTAAAGTGCCTCATAGATCAAGTAAAGTTTTCAAAATATTTAGCTTTTTTATTGCTGAGAAATTGTCAAATTGCTTCCAATTTTTAAACAAACATTATGAAGTTCTCATTGCGTTGTTCCGGTATGGGATCTTTTGACATGCCATCTTGAATTTCTTAGTTCCCACATTAATGTTACTTGATCTTTTCATATTTTTCTAACTTGCTAACAATACTCTTGGACTAGTTTGTACGGATTTGCATTAAATTTGGTTCATCAGTTGCCGAGAATTTAATTGTCAAAAATTGTCTCATTTTTTGGGACACCTGATATATGAACCATATTCAGTACGACGTGATAATCCCGTGATTTTCACGTCCATCTCATTCTTTGATATTAACTTTTGTACTAATATTCTAAACATATATATGGCTTATATTACATCAAAATGTTCGTCTTTGGATTGAATTTTCGGAGCTATGATTATTTCTTTGTTTCTGAGAATATGAAATGCTATTTGCCATGTTGAAGTCTGAGTAAGACATCAAAATGAAGGCGACACACGTAACAAATAATGACAAGGAAACCTACTCCAAGAGGGCTATCTTCAAAATTAGCAAACCGATCATTTTCATTTATAGATTATAGTTACTTTTATTACCTCATGATCTGCTAATATCAGAGGGTCAGACACAATACTGGACTGCAATGAAGAACGCGAAAAAATCGTCATGCTCGAAAGGTCAAATACTGATGCTGGATAGGTAGAGTTTTTCAGCCGTTAAATGAAATTTCAAATAGATATAATTTTTGAGACATGCGTTTTTATCTATTTATTGTTTACGGAAAAATATTTAATGTATCTGACAAATTGGAGAAGTTATAATACGAAACATTTTTCATAACTCTATGTCACAAAGGGTGTTTTTCATTATTTACATTATGTTTTGGGGGTTTACGTCATTATAAATGCCACATAATTTAAGTTAATCAAATATTAATTAGATTTTAGATGTGCGTTTTCTTTTTTCTATTTTATCTTCCAAATTATTTGATGAATTAGAACCGGAGTTACATATTAAAACATTCCTCATGATAAAATGTCACAGAATGTATTTTGACGTCTTAATCAAGCAGGCCCCTCGGACTCAGCGATCACGTCGTGTTTTGTACCTATTATCAACTAGTCAACCAGATTTCTGTTTTGCACATTTATATTAACCAAATTATAAAAACATAAAATATCGTCATTAGGAAATACAGAAAAATAAAGAATGTTTATCTTAATAAGCATTTAGTATTTTCGATACACTTTTCTCATTTTTTCTGACATGACAGCATTGAAAATACGGCAAAAAGATGAATTTTCCGCTTTTTCTTTGTTACAAAAGTTTTGACGTCGTTCTGAATATGAACATTGCATTCAATTATATGAATCAGCAACTTGGAACTTGAAAGATACACAACATCCATTTTTGCGTAGAGCCTATATTTGATATATACTTTTAAATAAAAATTTCAGGTTCTAAAATTCAAAAACTTTTATTACGCAGTTGGTCATTTTCGAGAAACAGACGTTGTGAATATCGAAATGCTCTTATCTTTTTCAAACTCTTTGTCTCAATAAAATCCTAAAATTATTTATTACATCGATCCGGAACGTCTAATTTAAAGAGCCGATGTTGATCTGCCAATTGCAAAGTGCATGACGTCTGCGCCGATTTCAATAACTTCGTATTGAATCAGAGATGTTTTCCAACAAATTTCATGCAGCGTAATAATTGATTAACCATTAGATCGGGGTTTTTCCAGAGTACTAAAAATAACATGCATACAAGGTCAGAATATCTACAGGTTACTATCACTAACTATAGGAAAGAACCTATAATCAATCGATTCTGTCAATGTAACCATCATACTTTCTTTCGGAGTGTGTGACGTCTGTGCTGTTTTCAATAACTTTGTATCAAAATTATGTATAAGAAGAATAATTGATTTATACATTTCGTCGGATAATGATGAATTACTCATAACTTAACAAATAATATAATAATTGTCAAACTCAAACATGTGAGATGAAAATTGATTATCCCAATCTGGTTCTTTCAAGTTCAAGCGATACCTTTTGTATATATACGGTTTCTAAGAGAAACGCAGACGGTACATAACTTTCTGAAGTATGAAATGAAGACGACACAATTTCTTAAAGCGGAAAATTAATTTGTAAATATCCAATTCCGCAATGTATTTCTGAGGTTACAAGTCATATTCTGAAACCGGAATCTTCGCACGACATACGTGCCAAATATTTAGTTGAAATTTGGAGAATAAAAGCGATTGAATCGAGAAAACAAAAAATCTAACGATTTTTTTCTTCCGGAACTCTGGTCTTTTGAAACGAAGACAGTTGTCGGTCGTATCCAGTTGATCTCCACTGCTTACGCTGAACAGACACTTTTTAAAACTTTTTCTCATGAGTTCTCATAACATAACCACTTCATAAGTGTTCACTATACTCTAACTTGCTCTATTTGATAAGATACTACATTGTACCAGAGCAGTATGGATTATCTCAAAAAGACCGTGATTGTCCTTTTGATGGCTACCTACGTAGAATCAGGTAATTCGTTAACATCTAATTCATTTGCACTGGAAATCAGCTGAAAATGGGAAAAATTGCCATTGATTCAGCATACTGTACGATAAAGATGTTCTGTTTTCGATTTATCAAATTTTGAATTTCAACGCAATCGCATGTAATTCGTGAGTTCTGTTTTTTTAAATATCTATATACATATATTAACTTCTATTGATAATTTGGGCAAGATATTAAAAAGACAATTCACTCGTTTTGAAATTAAACAGGAAATCTTCTCATGGATACAAGAAAATGGACATATAGCTTTATGGATCATAATTCAAAGACACAACATGTTTCAATATTACAAAGCACACATTTAATGAGGCCCATTTGTTCGAAAATATATTATGACATAATAACGAATTTCAATGCAGGAGCCTTAAGCTCTTAACACAAATAAAATCACTTAAAGCAAATAAAATATTTTAAAAATATCTACATCTAAATCTATCAATATACTAATTAAAGCTCTATTTTTGAGCAAAATTCTAAAATATGTACTGTGATATGTACAAAAAACAGTCTAAAACAAGTCTCGTGTCAGGAGCTAACCCTGCAGACTAGGTACCAGCGCATCACGGAAGGCAGTGCTGTCTTCTTTCATCCTGGTTGTGGAAGGGAGGTTGTTCCAATCTGTTATTGTCCTGGGGAAAAAGCTATTCTTGTATGTTTCAGTTCTGGCAAAGGGTTAGATGAATTGTTGGGCTCTTCTACCGGTTCTTTTAGATTTCTCGATGTGATTTCGCCATGCTAATTATTTTGATTCGCATCCTTATATCGTAAACTTTAAGTTTGCTAACCCTTTAGATGAAAGGGTGGATTAAATGAAAGAACAACAGTTATGGAAATTTAATTATAGATAAACGTATATTTCCAAAATATCTTACAAACTGTTGGTTGAATTTGCTCCATTATTTAACACTTTCATTACGAAGCATTTACTGAAAATTACAAAAATGTGTAGTAGAAGCTGGGGAGATATCGATAGATCATTTCACTGAAATTCTGATTTGAAAAGCATAAAATATCAACCCTAAAACACAAAAACATGACCAAATTTTGTGACCACCCGAAAATACTTAGAAAAGTGTTATATTTCGTTAAACCGCTGCAAGCAGATGTTGTCATTTTAATACATTTAAAGTCTTCCTGACCCATTACTTTTCAAGTTATTCATCATTTAGTTAAAAAATACAACGAAAAGAACTGAAATTGTGAAGTTAGAAAAATGAAGATAAGATACAAGCTTTATTATTCACCTATTATGTTTACTGTTTGCAGATGATTTCGACAACCTTGGAACAGAGTTTGTGTTGACGTTTATGGAGAATGAAATGATGGAAACAACAGAACCAACAGTGTACGATATTGAAGTTTTTATAACAACCTACCAGTCACACGACGTATCTGTCCACATCTCTAGCCCAAAATGGAGCAGCCCGAAGGTCGACCACAGTTTTATCATCACTGCTGGTCAGGCTGAACTGGTGAAATTCTCAAATGAATTACGTATGGTAGGAACAGAAAAAACCTCGAAGGGAATACTTATACAGGTATGTCCGAATTCAGCTTCGACTTCCAAAAAGTAAAAAGCAATCATAAGTCCGGGAACCCAATAAATCCAATTGACCCATTTTCTCTAAATATAGTTTATGGGATATAATGCGATTTGAAAATATAGTATGCATTGTCTTTCTATTTTTAAGTTTATTTTTATAACCAGGCGAGTGACGAAGTTGCTGTGTATGGCTTTAATAAGGAGAAGTACTCTACAGATGGTTTTCTTGGCTTACCCACTGACGTATTGGGGACCGACCACATCGCTGTAGCATACTATCCTCCTACGGAACAAACGGAGATCGCGATTGCGGCGGTACATGATAGTACCCAGCTTAATATCAAACTGAAAAACTCACTACCGGGCAACATTACATACGATAATGTCGCATGTTTTGGAGGTGATACGATTACCGTTAATCTAGATGAATATGAAACATTCCAAATGCATAGCATTGAAGACCTCACTGGTACACGGATACTCTCCAATCACCCAATATCAGTGTTCAGTGGAAACAAGAAAACGAGGGTTGCACCAGATGATGTATCAACAATAGGGAATTCACGTGACCACTTAGTATCCCAGCTACCCCCTGTGGATGTCTGGGGGAACACTTTCGTTACAGTACCCACTCCGGGACGACTGTTTGGAGACATGGTGAAAATTGTAGCAAGTCAAGCCAACACCGCTGTAAACATTTCTGGTTTTGACACACAGTATATTAATGAGAGTGGGGGATTTGTACAGGTGAGTAAAACAACATGAAATAAATGGCTTCGATAATAGTATATCAATTCAAGTAAGGGATGTCTGCAAAACAAAATGCTTTGATACATAGTATATCAATGAAAATGGAGTCCTTGCTGGTGAGTGAACAACATTCTTACAGCCTTCATTTGGTGATCGACATGACCTATCGATACAAATTGTTTTTGCATTTTGAAAGTCGTAAACGTTCTTTGTGGTTTTATAGAAAAATAGGAAACATTTATCGGATATAGGCTACCCTTAAACAATCGGTGCGGATAACCTCAATCCGCCCCAATCGTATACGAAATTCGTATAGCACAGTATCCAAAGGGTGGATACGCTTGCCGTCGATTTCAATAGCTAAATCATTCCTAGCGCTATTAAACCTAAAACGGGAGTAAAGATTATCTGAAAATATATAACCATTGCGCGAATTAGTTTTTTAGTAGTTTCTTAGTAGATTTTTCCGAAAATAACTCGATCCCACGAGGAGACAAATCTTACGACCCCATCCCCATGTTATTGGACTCGCCTTTTCAGCTCCCCCAAAATAGATTGGAGTTTTAGCAATGTTTGTATGTTGTATATTGTTCCATTGAAAAAGAAATGTAGCTTGCTTTACAAAAGCTGGTTTACGGTACACTTTTTTGAAATATACATAAAATATTACATCTTACTTCAAATAGGTCCGGCTTCCAGCGGATGAATACTGTTCAATGAAAGCAGACAAGCCAGTCATGATGGTATTGCTATCAATTACAAAGGATCAGTCTGAATCAGAGGGCGACCCTTCAATGACTTTAGTCCCTTGGCTAGAACAGTTCAATTCAAAATACACATTCACTACCCCAGAATATTCCCTTGGCTCGTACTTGAATTACATCATGTTAGTTATTGAGGATCAATACAAGAACGGACTAGTTTTAGATGGTGATAGCACACACGTAAATGGAGTAGCAACTTGGCATAACTTCCCTGGCATAGACGACTACGTAGGGTTGTATTTTGCCATCGGTGAGGGCTCGCATCATATTGAACACTCCAACCCAAATGCGTCGTTTGGCATTTACCTTTATGGAAAGGCTAGTCTTGAATCCTATGGACTCCCAGCTGGGATGAAGATGGTCAAAATCAATGAGGTGTGTTTTAAACAGCATATTACACGACACTATACTATAAATATACTTCAATACTATACGCTGTGGGCTATTTCGGTGTTTCTAATTAAAGAATATTTCTGATTTTCAAACATTCTTAGTTCGTATGCAGCTGATTAATCAAACAATACTTGGGCCCAATATTCTTACAACTTATATGCATTTCTCTTCAAGTCATTTGTGGCTGTATAATTTGCCATGATTGTACACATATTCCAGTGTCCTAATAGTGATGGCAGTGCTGTAGACGGAATTGACAACGATTGTGATGGTCTAATAGATGAGGAGGTTTGTGGACCCTCTGCAACAGGTACATCTAAGTACATACTAGTAAAACATTTAAAACAAGCTAGAAACAATTGGACTACAGATGTTTAAAGTATCTGAGCAAAATAAGTCATATAGTATAAACAAATTAATGTAATTTACACTTTAGATGACGACATGGATGACAAAATTGATGAAGATTGTGGGTCATTTGAGACCACGACAACTTTAACTACAACAACAACAACAACAACAACAACAAATGTACCAACAACAGCAACAGGTGTACATGTACCAACAACAACAGATGCACCAACAATAACAACAGATGTTCCTACCACACCGGATGTACTGACAACAGCAACAACAACAACAACAGCAACAACAATACATGTATCCACAGCAACAACAACAACAACAACAACAACACATGTACCAACAACAACCTCAACAGATGTGCCCACAAATACAGCAACAGTGCCAACAACAAATACACCTACTCAAATGACTCCCACAAAAACTGCCCACGTAACAAGTACAAGTACTCCTAGCCATATTGTTAATACAACTGAAGACCTTGCAGCTTTCAATGAACGGCACATAAGTGAGGTATATATCCATGCTTATCTTACTAACAGGGTGGACCAAAACGTACGAAGATGCGGAATGCGGATGCGTATCACCAGAATCATCTCTTAGGATACATTTAAACAAAAGGTTATGCGAAACCTCTCTTCTAGTTGACAAAGAGCGCTTGACCCATATTTCTATGTGATAATATTTCATTTCTCATAGATCACAATATATTTGTTCATTTCTGGTTGTATGTTATAAACTGAATACCCCTTTTTCAGGAAAACCTCACAAAGATAGTTCTTGGGACGATGATACCAATTGCCATTCTCACTTTGGTTGGTTGCACTTGTTGTATGGTGGCACTAGTGGTCAAGAGAAAGCGTAAGCGTAGGAGAGAACAGGAAGAGGGACAAGATTTAATGAAGCCTGGCACACCTCCACCAAGAAATGTTGTGACACCTACGGAACAGAAAATCTAATTATGATCCTGGAAACACTTCCATTATTAAGAACGTATTATCCTTGGATGTATCAACTGAACATATACACATTATGTATGCTAGATGACCCATATATACAAATTGCAACTAAATACATAATCAAGATGACCCTGTACTTATACTAACTAAATATATACTGTAATGTAGATGACCCTGTATATACTAATTCTAAAAGTATAACCTAGAAGACCGGTGTAAAAGAAATGATGGTCCCCTGGGGATTATTGCCCCCTTTCTTAAAGGCCCTTACTGGCCCTGATTGTGGATACGATAATAAAGGAAAGAGTTGTATTTAGGTCACCATATAAATCAATGGAAAGTAGGACCATAATTCGATAGGACCTCCTACCCTTTTACACCTGAGCCGATCTTTCAGAATGTATGACACCTGCGTTGTTTTCAATTACTTCGAATTCATATCAAAAATCGTTTCCAATAAAATTTCTGAGGTAAAGCAACTTTTACCTTTTAAATGTAGTTTGCTAAAGTCATACATATTACATTTCAAAAGTTTCATTTCATCTTTCTATCGTATTATTATTTAAATGTAATCCAAAGTTACCATGCACAGGAGCGATTATGGAAGTTATCTAGGGCCGGGGTAAGGTGGAAACTGGGAAGTGCTGAAAACTTTTGAAAGCTGTAAGGCAGAGTCCTATTTATAAAATATACAATTTGAATGAGTTTCAATTATTATTTTTGGGGTTAGTTCACTGGTTCCGCTGGAACAAAACTTTTGCGTACAATCTGAAGTAATCCTAAAATGAATTATCTATTAATGCATATATTTCCAAATCATTTTTGAGCATATTCAAGCGAGTTGGCTATTCTGTTGGTACTGTAGGGTCAATCTTGCGTTCTATGGTCAATGTCAATGTTTGTTTTAATGGCTCGTTCAATAGTTCTGTCTTCTTAATACAAGGTCTGGCCGGCAAAAGTACACTTGGTCAAACTTCCGCCAGTAGGATTTCCAAATATATATTCCACTCTCTTGTCAATATACAAAACCGTTTTCTTGGTAACAGGGGTTACTGTTCTGAAATTGAAAAGAACGGAATGATTATAAATAAATATTAGCAATTATTTATAAATACGATTGTACACAGTTATCTGAATGCACGTCTGCAAATAATTTATATATACACGGGTTACCCAATTACATATGTGTATTTGATCCAAACGTGTCGCAGGAAATAAGAAAATGTTTTCTTAATTATAAAGTAAACTTGAAATCTAAAAAGCCTTGGCCTGGACAGAGAGCAATGCCATTGGCCAGCTTGACGGCGAACTTGCACTTGGCAAACTATTAGACAGCGCATCGATGCTTTAACTTGCTTTTTTTCTGAGAAGACAGCCTACCAGCAGAGTATGGATTATCTGATTAAAGCCGCGTTAATACTTTTGGTGGCTACATATGTAGCATCAGGTAATTTGTTTGGATTCAGGTCATTTACATTGGGAATCAACTGAAATTAGGACATCGTGTCCTCGTTTCGGCATGTGCGCACTTTGACCGTGAAACGGAATTTGACATTTTGAATTCTGTTTTTTAATTTTATCACATTTTGTACTTTTGATTTCAAAGCATGTAATTCGTGAGTTTCGGTTTTTATTAAAAAATGAATTCGCCCGTTTGAATTTGAACAGGAAACATGAAATAAGAAAATAAGGCATAGTTCCATGGACCATAATTCAAAGACACGACATGATCCAATACAAGTTGTTACATATTTTACGAGGCATGGCAAATCGGCCAATTTGTTCAAATATATTATATAGTGTATTACATAATGAAGTAGCCTAAAACCTTTCTTTAAAATGCTATCCATTTAACATTAATATAAAATATCAATTTTCGGAATTTTCATGCCTTTAATTTTAATTAAGAATTGATAAGTTTGTTAACCCCTCAGGGGGGAAGATGAATTAAAATAAAACAAAAGTCAAGATGATAGCTTTTCTAGAACTGAAATTATGCACTTTCGAAGATATTGCAGGTATTGCAAAAAACCTTCAAAATCATATTATTGTAACGCGTAATTGATAATCAACAATTTCAAGATCAATTTGTTTTTGTTTTTGACATTCAAGATGAAATAACCATAATGGATTTAGTACGAAAAAAGATAAATGCTTATATTATTCCGACATAATTTTGGTCCATAATTCTGCTTAGCAACCGAGTACAAATCGAATTGGTGAAACTGAATTGAAACTGAAATTTGGGGGAAGGGGGAATAAAAAAGCTATATCTAAAATTCGAAGATTATTCTAATACCAAAGTTTGCATAAACATTCGGCTGTATTCAGTATCCAAGGGTATTCATCACGCAGTTTTTGCTCAAACTTTTGAAGGGAACGCGATTAGCGAATATTTGTCGATTAACGTATTTTACCTTTAAAAATCATAACTTAGTCAATAGTGACTCGAGTAAATTAAAAAAAATGGTGGAACGAGAATGTAATGTGCTAAATTGTTATTTATCAAACAAAGCAATAATGATATATTTGTATTGTTGTATGCATATATATTAATTTTAATAAATTGAATTGAATAAATTGAATAATAAAATTGATCACTTTGCAAATTTCAACAGCAGTAGAAACAAGTTGCGGTACCAATCAATATTTTTTTATTTTATTTTTATTGACAACAATTTCCATAAGTTCTTTGCCCCTATAACCTGATTTTTACGCCAAAAAGTGTCTTATATATCTATGGCACAAGTTGAAAAACGATGAAGCCACAAGAAAAACTAGCTATAAAATACTATACTATAAGAAAAATCGAAAGGGGGAGGGCAATTTGATCGTCCCCCAACAGACATTGAGGTTAAATATAGTAGAAATTATGTATTCTGCCAGTGTCTGTTTTACTGGTCTTCTTTAAGGTTTTTTGTCTCTTCAATTCCCAATATGGAGCTTGTGTATAGATATTGGGTATACGAAAAATTTATCGATGAATGTTTTTATAACCTCTGGGTCTCTATGTACCCTCGGGGAAATATCGATTGGGACTTCTACTGAATTATTGAATTGAAAACATTTAAAGCAACCAAAAACACAAAGCACAACAAAATGTTACACCCCAAATTACTTACAAAAGTGTAACAATTTCTTTCAAAAGTGTAACAATTACTTACAAAAGTGTAACAATTACTTACAAAAGTTTAATAATTACCTATAGGAAAGTGTGAAGATTTGTCCCGCCAACTGCTAACATGCGATGTGTATACTTCAGTTACATTTAACATGTATAAGTTCCCCATTGTCTTTCAAGTCATTCATCAAATCCAAAAGCAAAAGGTTGTACTAAGAAAAAAATAAAATAATCTACACGCTATATGATTAATAGCCAGCTTTTGTGGTAAGGGGCTCGACCCCCCCCCCCCAATCCACACATGATTTTTTATCATGCTTCATCAACTTCGCATTGTAATTACAAGCAAGGGTGTTATTAAGAAGACACCAGGGGTTGCCTTGAAAATAAGGGAGGGGTTCCAAACATTTCAGCATGTCATGTTTACTATTTGCAGATGATTTCGATAACCTTGGAACAGAGTTTGTGTTGACGTTGATGGAGAATCAAGTTATGGGAACAACAGAATATGATATTGAAGTGTTCATCACAACCTACAAGTCAAACTCAGTATCTGTCCACATCTCTAGCCCTAAATGGAGCAGCCCGAAGGTTGACCACACTTTCAGCATCACCGCTGGTCAGGTTGAACTCGTGAAATTTTCAAATGATTTACGTATGGTTGGAACAGAAAAATCCTCGAAGGGAATACTCATACAGGTATATCCGAAGTCAGCATCGACATAGTACTAAAATAGTAAAAAGTAGGCATAACTCCGAAAGTGCATTTTATCCCTTTCTCCTAATATAGTATACAGGATATATAGTGTAGTACTAGTATGCCTTGTCTTTCTATTAGTTTATTTTCATAAACAGGCGAGTGACGAAGTTGCTGTTTATGGCTTTAATAAGGAAAAGTACTCTACAGATGGTTTTCTTGGCTTACCCACTGACGTATTGGGGACCGACTACTTCGCTGTAGCATACTATCCTCCTACGGAACAAACGGAGATCGCGATTGCGGCGGTACATGATAATACCCAGCTTAATATCAAACTGAAAAACTCACTACCGGGCAACATAACATATGATAATGTCGCATATTTTGGAGGTGATACGATTACCGTTAGTCTGGATGAATATGAAACATTCCAAATGCATAGCATTGAAGACCTCACTGGCACACGGATACTCTCCAATCACCCAATATCAGTGTTCAGTGGAAACAAAAAGACGAGGGTTGCACCAGATGATGTATCAACAATAGGGAATTCACGTGACCACTTAGTATCCCAGCTACCCCCTGTGGATGTCTGGGGGAACACCTTCGTTACAGTACCCACTCCGGGACGACTGTTTGGTGACATGGTGAAAATTGTAGCAAGTCAGGCCAACACCGCTGTAAACATCTCTGGTTTTGACACGCAGTATATTAATGAGAGTGGGGGATTTGTACAGGTGAGTAAAACAATGTGCCGGTAAATTAAATTTGCCAGTATATTCATGAGAATGGGGTCATTGTTGGTGAGTTAACATTTCTGACTTCATACATTTTGTTTGAATACAATAAATAACGCTAGGATTAGGAGTTATTAAAAGTTGAAGTTCGAGATTAAAAGGTCCTTTCATTTTATTTTTTGTAACAGAAAAACAATGTTAAATGTTATAGTCCGCTATGGAATCTTTATTTCATGATTTAAGTGATCCGCAAGGCGGACAAAACTTAACATTGTTCTTTTGTAAAGGATGACCGCACCGCTCTTGTCTTAGCAATTACATTGTCGTTATTCTGGAAAAAAGAGAGGAATAATTGTGAGGATTTTGAAGTATTTTTACTCAGAAATAAGTCGACAAAAACCTTCCGACACCGCAATGTGATATAAGACTGGCGTTTCCATTCCCCAATCATATCTTGGACATAAATATGGGACATCCATATCTTTGTCTCATCAGAGTTTTATATCGTTCCAATAAACAGAAGCTAATTGTGGTTAGGTTACAAAAGTTTATGATGATATGATATACTGTACCAAAATGTGTACATTACATGATCTATTTTTCTTTAAAAAGGTCCGGCTTCCAGCGGATGAATACTGTTCAATGAAAGCAGACAAGCCAGTCATGATGGTATTGTTATCAATTACAAAGGATAAGTCTGAGTCAGAGGGCGACCCTTCAATGACTTTAGTCCCTTGGCTGGAACAGTTCAACTCAAAATACACATTCACCACTCCTGAATATTCCCTTGGCTCGTACTTGAATTACATATTGTTGGTTATTGAGGATCAATACAAGAACGGACTAGTTTTAGATGGTGATAGCACACGCGTAAATGGAGTAGCAACTTGGCATAACTTCCCTGGCATAGATGACTACGTAGGGACGTATTTTGCCATCGATGAGGGTTCGCATCATATAGAGCATTCTAACCCTAGTGCATCATTTGGCGCTTACCTGTATGGAAAGGCTAACCTTGAATCCTATGGACTACCAACTGGAATGAAGATGGTTAAGATCAATGTGGTATGTTTTATATCTTCTGTTTGTAGGATTGTGTTGCATTAGCCATTCACAAACTAAACGCAATCTCCATTTTATACATTCTTTTTCACTTAGAATCCTACAATAAGGAGTTAGCTTGCAATGTTTTTCACAACTTAAACGCGAACCGAAAATATTTAAGCGATGCATTTGTATGGGCGATTGGTCATACGTATAGGTTGGCGTTTCAATTTCAATTTCGAGACATGTACATTTTGGTAATTATAAACCACATTCAGTTCAATCGACTTAAACATATTCTTAGAGAAATACCCACCGAACGTCACATGGGCAATTTTTGCATGTGTTGCTGAAATAAGAATTAAGCAATCAATGTGCTGTCTTAAAACAAAAAGTAATTGTTTTTAAAACTTTATCCACTATTTGAAACTTACCATGTCATCTGTTTTTCATAAAGTCACTTTCATGCTTTTCATAGTTAAGCCTCTTAACTATGAATAATTTCGATTTCCAAAAATACTCTTTCATTTGACGCTGATTGTGCCTAATTAATCATAATATTATACTTGTGCTCAATATGCTCAAAACGTATGCATTTCTATTCAGATCAAGTTATTTTTGGCTGTAAAATTTGGGTTTTCACATATTCCAGTGTCCTAATAGTGATGGCAGTGCTGTGGACGGAATTGACAACGATTGTGATGGTCTAATAGATGAGGAGGTTTGTGGACCCTCTGCAACAGGTAGGAAAACATATCCTAGCACAAACAGGCTCAAACTATTTATTTACAGGTACTTAAATGTATCTATGTATGTAAATAAGTCATACAGTACAAATAAATTTAATTAAAGCAATTTACACTTTAGATGACGATATGGATGATAAAATTGATGAAGATTGTGGGTCATTTGAGACCACAACTACCATATATGTGCCGACAACAACAACAACATATGTGCCGACAACCACCACCACCGCTGCGCCTACAACCACAACAACTACAGCTGCACCCACAACCACCACCGCTGCGCCTACAACCACAACAACTACAGCTGCACCCACAACCACCACCGATGCGCCTACAACCACAACAACAGCTGCACCTACTATAACCTCAACCTCTGTACCGACAACAACAACATCTGTGCCAACATCAACAACATCTGTGCCGACAACAGCATCTGTGTCGACATCAACAACATCTGTGCCGACATCAACAACATCTGTGCCGACAACAGCATCTGTGCCGACATCAACAACATCTGTGCCGACAACAGCATCTGTGTCGACATCAACAACATCTATGCCGACATCAACAACATCTGTGCCGACAACAGCATCTGTGTCGACATCAACAACATCTGTGCCGACAACATCTGATGTGCCGACAACAGCCCCAGTTGTAACAACTGCAGCAGCAGCTGTTCTTACCACAACAACATTACCGACAACAACACGTACAACTTTACCTGATGAATCTGCTCCCACAACAACTGTTACCGTAGAAACTACAAGTACTCCAAGCCATCTTGTCAATACAACTGACGACCTTGCAGCTTCTAACAATCAGAAGCAGATTAGTGATGTATGTAACCATGCTTATATTACTTAAAGGGTGGGCCGAAAGTGGGACACTAACATAAATCATACTAACCTTGACTTTATTTGACATTTAAATATTTTTATAAACATGGTATGGTGTATTGGTCAATAAAATTCGATTTTCTTCAAATGGTTTAATTTTTTGGTTTATATGATGAGGAATGAATAAAGACACTGGTGGATCCATAAGCTAACAAGGGGAGGGCCAAATTTTGAGGCAGGATAAAATTCTCCACCAAAACATTATTTTGGTTTGGTCTCCTAAAACCAAAAATTGGGCCCATATTTTGAAAAATTCAGGCCCAAAATATGCACAAAAAGGCCCATTTTTGAGCCCTTAATTTTCTTGCCCACAAGGGGGGGGATCCGTCAGTGAAAGAAGCAGCATTTAAATAATCACAGTAACCATTGAAATGACAAATCGAGATATGCTAACGAGCACTGTAAAATAAAAAAATAAAACAAAATATTTACGTTAAATAACGTAAACATAATACTGTGATATGGATACGTTTCACCAGAGAAATCTCTCTACATTTTTAAACAAAAAGGTATTATGCCTCTCTGTTAGTTGACTGTGAAGGCTAGTCCCATATTCCTATGTGATAATATATTTCTCAATAAATTATTTGTTTACAATACTTATTACAGTATTCTTGATTGTACTTGTAAACTGGACAAAACATTTCTCTTCAGGAAAACCTCACAAACATAGTTCTTGGGACGATGATACCAATTGCCATTCTCACTTTGATTGGTTGCACTTGTATGGTGGCACTAGTGGTCAAGAGAAAGCGTAAGCGTAGGAGAGAACAGGAAGAGGGACAAGATTTAATGAAACCTGGCACACCTCCACCGAGAAATGTTGTGACACCTACGCAAATTAAAATCTAGATGATCCTGGGAACACCTCCATTGAAAAGAACTTACTAGCCTTGGATGCATCAACTGAACATAAATTATGTAGAGAAGCCTCGAAATGCCAAATTGTTAAATGATAATGATACTTAACAAGCCAACTAAATACTCTATCTGGATTGCCCTGTATATATCAACTAATCTAGATGACCATGTACACTAGTTCTGAATATATGATCTTCACTACTCTGGATATGCCAACTAAATATGTAATCTAATTGACGCTGAATACGTCAACTAAATGTAGTATCTGGATGACCCAGAATTCGTCAAATAAATGTATTATCTGGATGACCGTGAACACGTCAAATAAATGTATTATCTGGATGACCCTAAATACGTCAAATAAATGTATTCTCTGGATGACCCATAATTCGTCAAATAAATGTATTCTCTGGATGACCGTGAATACGTCAAATATATGTATTATCTTAATGACCCTGAATACGTCAAATAAATGTATTCTCTTGATGACCCATAATTCGTCAAATAAATGTATTATCTGGATGACCGTGAATACGTCAAATATATGTATTATCTAAATGACCCTGAAAACGTCAAATAAATGTTTATCTGGATGACCCTAAATACGTCAAATAAATGTATTATCTGGATGACCGTGAATACGTCAAATAAATACTGAAGGATTGTCTGGATGTGCCGAAATACATCAATTAAGCTTAAATCTAAATGACGCTGAATACGTCAACTAGATATATGATCTGGATGAACCTACATACGTCAACTAACTATGTAATCTAGATGACGTTAAATACATCATCTAAAAGTGTAACCTATAGATGACTTCGAATAGATCAACTAAATATGTAAGGTAGATGATTACGAAATATGTCAATACGTCAACTGAATATGTAATGTAGATGACGCTAAATACGTCAACTAAATATTATATGTCGGTGTGTTATCTCTCAGTGGCGGATCCGGGGGTGGGACCCTGAAGAGGGCCCAACATTTTTTTTAGTTTTTGGGCCCCACAATTTTGTTGAGCCTCCAAAAATGTGCCTTTTTGGGCATTATTTGGCCTTTTTGGCCAATTTTTCAAAAAAGGGCCTTAATTTTTTAAAATTTGGGCCTAATTTTGGGTTATAGGGGCCCAAAATTTTATTCCTGGTTGAAAACTTGGCCCCCACCTTGTCAATTTGTGGATCCGCCACTGCTTCTAGGTGTTCTTTTCTTGGTACGATTTGTGCCATTATTTCAGGGATTCAAGACATTGATCCACCCAAAGTGAACGATGAATTTCTCAGTTTTATTCATGCGTTGCTCATGATCCTTTTAATAGAGGAGTTTCTAAATAGCTTTGAAATCTCGCTAATTCTCGTTTTTTTCATGTGATTTTAAGAGATTTGCACTTATTACCTCCAATGTTTCTTTATTTTTGATAGCATATTTGAATTCAGTGACAATTCTCAAATGATAGCTTTGATTTACACAGTTGTGTCATTTAAATCATTTTCCATGACATTTAAAAAAACTTGGGCCAAATATCCATTGACACTTTGGCTTATTCGTATGACAACGAACATTATCATGTTTAAATCATAATATGTAAATTGACAGAGTCATCAAAGTAGTATTCTATTCGAGTTTCAGACAGATTCAACGAACACTTTTTGATAAATCATGAAATTAAGTGACTATTGCAAGTTTCTAGCATTAAAGTGAATGGAGGTCTGGCCCAAGAAAATGATCGGTCGTTCGTCTTGTCGATAACTCGAATTTGGGCTCGAATCGAATGTTTTTTTACGAATGGGTTCAATAGAGTATGCTTTCCTTCTGAGTTCATTGGGAAATACAATGGTCTTGATGACTTCGAAATATGGCATAAATGTTTATTGGATTTAACAACACCAAGCCACTTAAGATAATGCAGCTTCCTCTTTAATATGTATAGTCAATCTTCCAAAGAAATAATTAGAAACATTTTGACCAATGCAGTGTATTTTTAAGTTTTAAAAGAAGAATAGTACATACTATCCACAACAACAAGAAGAACAAAATAACCTATTGTTGACCCATAAATACAAGTCAATAGAAAATCTAAATCTGATCTGTTATTAATTTATACACAAGCAGGTCAAGTACTTTTAATGTCTTGTTAAGTAAAAATATCAACGTTTAATCAAACAACACTTATTTTACAGTTTCATCCTCAACAATCTGATTGTATAAAAAAATGACATAAGTCTTAACGAGGACGTTACCCTTGGCGATAACTATGATATCCCATCATGATGATTTCATTTTATTTTGCTGATATTGAAATATAGACTGGATCAAATGTACTTTCAACCGCATTTGGCATTGCACCTTCTTCACAATATCATTTTGTTTTGACACATTCCAAATAATATTTGATTCTGCTAGTCTTTTGGTCTCAATGGCACATAACTGCCAAAACTGTTCAGTTCAGATACAACTGCCCTGTGCGTTCTACTTGAACATAAGATAACCTTGTATATGCTCAAGATCAGTGAATCTCTTCAGTTTCTTTTGAAAATATCCTCCTTTGGCGAGAACTCCTCTTATATAGCTCCTACACTGATGTTGTAAACTACATGGTTGAGCTAAGCCCTTGAAGATCACCTTGACATCATCCTTGACATGAATGTCGTCAACATACTCCATCATGCTATTCTTAAATTGTCCCTCGCTGAGTGATTTCTGAGATTGTGCATTGATCAATATTTCGTATAGTTTGAGAACATGGTTTTTGCAAATCTCTGGGAAGTAATGGTATTCATCGGCGTCCCAATTGTAGTAGCCTTGGAGCAGAAGATCGGGATCTGCGCCGTGCGCAAGGAGAAGACGAACGGTCGGTTCAGTCTGCGCTGTCTCAAACGCTCGAAACAATGGCATTTTGCAATACCTGAAATAAAAAAATACAAGTAAATTTCATTTGTTCCATGATGGGAATTTATGATGTCAAAATATGTTAGCAATCTAACTGAATTGCGATTTATTTTGTATATAACCTGTTGCTATTTACGATGTCGTGGAGAACATTGAATATATATCGCCCGATCTTTTGTCGAAAACTTGCCAATGACATCAGGCAGAATGAAAATGTTGTATTTCTTCATTATCCATTTACTTATTGGCCGCTTATCACATATGAAACGTTGTGTCACATTATTGTAAAGATAAATACATGTTAAATGACAAACTCACCTTCTTGTTCTTGCATATTTCACTGGATTTCTTGTGTCTAAGTTGGGGTCTGCACCTGCATTGAGTAAGGCCTCGAGACTGTCATCTCCTCTGGTAGAGTCCCGAGATCTTTCTAAACACGCCATGAGTGGAGTAACACCTAAAAAGAACAGGTAAAAACTACTCATAGGTTCAATTTTATATTTTGGAGGTTTATTATTTTCTAGTTATCTGGGAATATTACTTATCTGCGATATATATAACATATAATTCTTGCAAATATTATTTGTCAACAGCAACTTAATTGATAAATTGAAAAAAATAAAACATGACGATCATGTGTTGACTTGCAAATTCGGGTTGTCAACATTCTTGTAACAGTGCTGCCACAGTGGGCGGAATGTCAAAAATGTTGCATTGTCCCATGCGTCCATGTTTATGTTTACATTAAATAAACTACCTTATTCCAATCTTATCAGTTTTATTAAAATCAACACTTACATGGCCGTTATTTTGACCCAAGTACCCATTTTAAAAATTGACTTTCGAAATTTTAAAGAAAATAAATTTAAAGTATCAACAAAATACAGAATCTAGAAAACAGCAACTCCACGGAGTAGCAAATCCCATCGAATAAAAAATTTCGTTTTGAACAGAGCTCCTTTGTTCCTAGGTTTCAGCAAACATCTAAAAAGGACCACAAGGTATCGCAACAAATTGAAGACAGTCATATGTTGGATTTTGGCTGGTTCTGATGGTTTGAACAGGTGCATATACACTCTATGTGCATATGCATTAACTCCAGATCAAGCACTCATAGAGATGATAAAATAATTTGGATTTTGAGACAGGGAAGGTGCAGCGGTGCAAACACCCCATCAACACTTTCCACACCCGTTTTTTTCAATGTTTGATGCATCAATATGTTGCGTATTGATAAACAGTTAAACAGTTAAAAAAAGGAAAATGGATTAATTTGTGATAAAATGGAAAACAATAGTTCCCCTGTTATTTTCCGATAGGGAAAACTCATGTGATCGATTGTTTTAAGCTTAATTTTGGTCACAATAATCGATATCTTTAAAGCCCCCCCCCGCATGGATCATATTTTTCTTTAAACGGTTAACTGTGTCTCAAGATTAACTTTGTCTAAAGATTACATTTTAAGTACAAATGGTAGGCCTAGTCATTTTGATAAATTAGCGCCAGTGGCCCTTTCGAAAATTCTTGAGCAGAGCTCCTCTGTTCCTAGGCATCAGCATTTGAAATTTGAACCAAATCAGTCAAATATAGTATTTGAGTTATCAAAGGTTACGCTTTTTACGAAAAATGGCGGCCATTTTGAAATTCATTGAGGATCTTGAAAATCTCTTCTTGAGCAAAGATCCTTTGTCCCTTAACATCAGCATATAAAATTTGAACCAAATCCGCCATAATAGTATTTGAATATCAAAGGATTCGTTTTTTGACAAAAATTGTGGCCATGTCGAATTAAGCAGTCATATTGAAAATTCCTTCTCGAGCAGAGGTCAAACACCCATAAGACAAAAGCCTTTAAAATTTGAACCAAATCCGTCAACCGGTATTTTAATTATCGCCCCGAAGCACGAACGGACGAACTGACGTCTTCTCGTTCGGTGGGATATAATGAGGACATTGAGATTTGATTTATAGCACAGACAGAGGTACAGAACAATATGTGATCCAAAGAATCAGATGACACATATCAGACTTGAAAATGGCATCATACAGTCATACATTAAGAAAGCACACAATGACAGGTTGTGTTCTTGGCTTGCACTCTTGTTCAGAGTTATCATCTTTCACGTATTATAATAAATAGTTGAGAGATATGGTTAATTTTTGAATATCTAATGATTTTTATTTTATTGTAAGTTATGTTACACAAAGGCAAAGCTGATCAAAATTAATAATAATTTATATATAAACAAGAGTAATATATCTCTGGATTTCTATATAATAATAGTTATGAAGAATGGTTATATTTTATCTTTTTGTTTAACCTAAGCGTATAATAGGTCTCCATTTATATAATATACAGTGACTTATAATTTCTAATATAGTTACATGTTTTTCATCGTTACAGTTATATGTATTTCCACCTTATCGTACATGCACATCTCTTAAGCAGATGATTTTTTAGTTTACAGTTCATCTTCTTCATCGCATATTCCATTATCCATAAGATCAAACACAAGGTACTCATTCCTACGATGTTCATTCGTTAGTTCAGCATTGCATGGATTGCCCAGAGTGTCCTTTAGCTTCTGCCAGAACAATTTCTGTCTATCTTCCTCCTCGCTCCACTCTATATAGAGGCGGTTCTCTAAGAGAGAGCGTAGTCTTGGCTTGATCAATTGAGCTGGTATCGTATTTAAAGGCACTCTTAGAAGCAGAACCATACAGTTGCAGCCACGAGTGGCAAGAACTCCGTTTGCAATCTCCATTTCAAAAGTACACCATCTGCTGCGAAGGAAATCCTCGGTAATTACAAGGATTATTTTCCTGCTATGATTCATAGCAACAGTAACTAGTTCCTCTAGAACGTGGCCGCCTAAAAAGTTACGTTCATCAAAACATAGTTTGTAACCAAAATCACCTTCCAGACGGTGAATCAAAGTATTATGTGAAAAATCGTTGTCCTGGCTGCTATAGCTGAGGAATCCATCGAAGTAGTATGCATCATCCACGGCATTCCGGCGACGAAATTGAGCACGCGCGAGTAAACCGAGGTATTGAATTCTAAAACGGTATTTGTAGATTAGAAAGGCACTCATGGCTATCAGACCTACAGTTAATGTGGTGATTGTTACTGATATTATAACTGGCATTAAGCAGTACTTTCTGAGTTCCTCGTGATCCACCTTTAATATATGAATTCGCATGCCGTTTTTATCATTGCAATGCACCAAATAAGGTCGGTAAAAGGTGAAATAGTTTTCCTGTGCCCAATTTATGAAATGGATGTCCCCACACTTGCATGTCAGTGGATTTCCTTCAAGGTTAATAAGTCCATAGTCGTTCACTCTGATTAGTTCAAGTTCATCCAAAAAAGAACTCCCAAGCTCCTCCAACTTGTTATGCGAGAGGTTAAGAAAAGTGAGATGTTTCAGCTCAGTTAGTTTCACATCTATATGTGTCAGGATATTGCCACTCAAATCTAAGGTCTTAAGATTTTTGGCATTTTTGAAGAAATCATGGGGAATGCTATAAAGCTTGTTATAAGACAAATCCAAGTGCTCTAGTTTATTGCAATCATCAAAGGCACCTTTAGAACTGATCTCATTCAGTTGAACCATATTGCCCCTCAGACTCAAAATCTTTAGAGATTCAAACCTTCCTTTTGAACACGTCAGTAATGACGAACTAAGGACGCAGTTATTGTCACCAAAATACAATTCCTGTAGATGTGTGAGGCCTTTGATTTCTCCACCTATTTCACCGAATTTACCTCTTCCCGATATATCTAGAATTCGTAAACTGTTTCCATTTTGAAAAACGCACCCACGTTTAAATGAACTTAATATAAAATAGTCGAACACTGCAGATGAGAGCGCAATGTTAACCAACTGCAGCACCTCTAATTTCCAAATTGACATGTCTATAACACAAGATGTATGAGATTGTTCAATATACTGTTTCACATCCAGTTCTGCTTTCTGTGACGATGAGATCTTAAAAACTTTGATGTTGCTTTGAGCCAGATATTCAAATTCTGATTCGTATACAAAAAGCAATGGGGCGTTGAAGAGATCTAAACCAATATTTGACATATCAAACAGTTCAAGATCTTTGAGAATTAAACTTAAGCTGTTCCACAAAAGACCTACATTTATCCTTTTGAACATACGGTTATACGACACTTTCGTTGAACCATCGAAAAATAGTTCGTCTATGTAATTGTTTGCAAGGTGTATCTCTCTAATTGGCGTTTTTTTCAATGTCATCATCAGCCATGTCATGTCGAGAGAATGTGGTTTAGCCGTTCGATGATGTGTCTCGCTAAAGTCTATAACCTCAATCGTGGAGTTTTGTAGATTTTTAAGTTCTGGTATGAGGTATTCGAGAATATTATATCTGTAGCCAGTAGTGCTTGAGATCATTCGGGACATGTTCAAACGTGTGATATTAGGAAGCTGTTTAAAGATGCCCCATTCCTCGCGTTTGTACATCGTTGTGAGACTTGGCCTAAGAGAGTTCATGCTCAGGTTGAGTTCACGTATTGCAAGCCCTTTAAAAGCATCTTTCGGGAAACTTTCTAAATCATTCCCAGCAAGACTTAAGTATTTCAGGTTCGGATAATATTCATAGAGTGATATATTCCGTTTAACAAAACGTATAAAGTTTAATGGTACCAGTTCACTCAAATGTCGCCTTAGCTTTAATCCAATAATTCTTTTGAACTCGAGGTTTAATGTCGTTATAGCCGGTGAGATGTCGTTTAGAGGAATGTAGAATAAACCCCAGTTTGGGCCGTATATGTTGGAATACTCACTGTTGCATGTGATAGACGTATTTGTGCAACTCTGACAACTGGATATAAAACTTGTAGAATTGCATACTTCAGAGAGCAACTTCACATATTTTCCATGAGGCGCTGTCGTAATTGCTAACAGCGTAACAAACACGTGTATCCATGAAGGCATTCTCTCTCGTGGCTCTTATTCTATCGACTTTGTATGACAGATCGTGTCTTTCAGAATATTTCTAATGTAATGAATGTCAAGAATTGCGATGATCGAGTCTGTGTTTCTTTTTGAACATGTGTGTAATTGCCACAGTCAATGCATGCCTCTGAGTCACACTTGTTTATTATGAGGAAAACAATAATCTTAATAACCTGACCTATTTTCAAAATCACCATTTAGCCTGAAAATGTTCAAGATGTTTTGGTTTTTGCATAACCAAACAATACAATATGTTTCATATGTAATTAAAGCGAATCCCTGGCCACAAATTGGTTTTGATTTGTGTTACTAAGCGCACACAAAATTGCGGATTGGTAAGATATCATTCAACAAGTGGAGTTTCTGTACCTTTATTTTTGATGTGTAATTGTCCGTTGGTAAATCTTTGTAGGCTTCTTATTTTGACAGATTTCTTTGATTTTGGCTTGAAGTATGCGTAACGCCCGGCGTAACGTTCAATTATAACCATTATCAAATTGATGCAAGACTTGTTTTTCCTCGAGCTTCTTTCTCTATTCAACTGATACTAATTAGCAAACTTCCCTGTTCTTTAAACATTTTCCTCTTTTAATCTAAGGATAGCTGGCATTAATCTGCTGGTTGTGCTTTATTTTCCTCATTTTAAAATCTGATTTCTTGATGGTAAAAGGGTTTTGTACCTAAAACTGAAATGCAGCATTTTTCCGATCTCCGATGTTTAATTACTTTGGTTAAGTTTCATATTCATCATCGAAACATGCGATTTTTTCAATTTTGGTATGAGTTACATTTTGTAAATTGTGTAGCAAAGCATCTATCCCACCAATGGTATTCCAAGGGAGTAGCACAGCGCAACTAACATACATTACATTACATTGGGTCACTGCACACTCTCCAAATCATGTATTGATATAAATCAAAAACGTATTGTCGAAAAGATAAGTTCAGATTAAAATGTTTTCACATTTCACATGACTTCTCTTTGGCCAATACCACAGTATCTACCAAAATAGTCAAAATACAAAATGTTCCGTACAATTTTGTCCAAAACTGAAAGAGCACGTACTTTTAAGGGCAATATATGTCTTTCAAAATCAAATTTACCTTTATTAATTTCAACAAGTGAATAATGATTCCAATACCTCACTACACCAATTTGTTAATGATCTTTGGAAGTACAACAAAGACTTCAGCTGAGCCGAGAGAAACTTACTAAAATTGTCGGTGAAATATTGCTTGACATTCCAAAACATTTCAACAGTTTTGACTTCATCATTGATATTTGATTATTCGCCTTTAATTTTGAAATAGAAGGCCTCTTTTTCAATTCTACTAAATTTGAACACTTTAACTTTTGCATCACTTTTTACACTCTTCGAGCTTCAGTTTGTTTCAGATGTGAGAAAGGGCCATTTTTACATCATCATTGTAACAGTCTCAAATAGCTTAATAAACTAAAATAGCCTAAACTAACCTTTACTGTTCATGGCATTAACATCACAAACCCCCAACTCTAAGATGGCGTTGGTTTTCTCTAAGGTGGGCCAACATTGGACAGCTTTAGTCAGAAGACTTGCCCCATCCTGGTCCTCAATCTCTGGATCAGCACCAGCCTCTAGCAACAGTTTAATGTTCTCTATGTTGAGGCTCTCAGCTGCAATGTGAAGTGGTGTCTCACCCGGTGTATCCTTAAACCTTCCTGTAAAAATATAAATCACATAGCAAAGAAGCATAGAAAAACAGTGACTATAACAATATCGTACCAGTAGAGAAAGATGACGAAGCATCATTATGTACATGTAAAAATGTTATAATTTTATTTTACCCCCTCCCGTCAAGAGGAGAGCTAATTTAACATTAGTTCCTTGATTAAATCTATCTTAGATCAGAACGGTGTTTTATTTGCCAACGGGGTTTTATAACCATGAGAGGTGTTTCAACTTCACCACTACGATGATCATTTACTTCTTGAACTTATAGTATTTGTTAATTGTGAAAGATGGCATTATAAGGAGAATTACCCGTAATGAGGCTTCTTGCATTGATGTCAGCGCCCTTCCGTATGAGCAGCTTAATGGTGTCTTTATCCGCCCACCTGAACAGCGAAATCATTAAAGCAGTAAACTTCACTGTGCATTTAGCGAAATCAGATTGTGTTGAATTCTTGTCACAGCCAATGTATGTGCCCTTTTTCTTCATCAGATCAATTGTGACATCTTCACGATCGAGAAGGAATTTCATTGGCTCCACCAGTTGTTCAAACACTGTGAACTGAAGTATGTTCCCTGTTATATCACATATGATATTCGGATCTGCACCTTTATCAAGAAGGTATTTCATAAGGACAATATCCTTTTGTTCAGCTGCAATCATTAATGCAGTTCTCTGAATCCTTCCATTATGGTACTCTGATTCCTTTCCATAGTGGTTCTTAAGATTTAAGTCCGCTCCCTTGTCGACTAACCATTTCACCAGACCAAGGTTCTTATGGAGAATAGCGTACATTAAGGGAGTGTAGCACACCTTCTTGCGATCGCGATTGTTTCCACCCGGTACACAACCCATGTTGTATTTAGACACGTTGATGTCACCACCTAAGAAAGAATAAGGATGCATTGTTATTGTTTTTCATGAACTGATGGTGAATGCATAATAGAGGAGTACATGTATGATCGAGCTTTTCCAGATATTTTTTTTGAAATCGTCAAAAGCACGTGTATTACAAATAATCTATAAAATACATGTATTCAACAAATTCAACAGGTGAAATGTCGTCACAAAATTTAGCTCTACTACATTCCAAGCAGTTACGAAAACCATAATATAACAGTTTTGGATATCCTCATAGGTTCTGAGCGGATATAAAGAGGGCAGCACCAACAGAATCCAGTATTATATTTTTCTAAATAAACACAGATCGATTATAATGCCATCTTTATTTTAAAATCATTTCTATCGACCTTAGCCTATGGATAACTTGATGAACAGACGGATCGTGTTCTCTACATGTACTTCATTCGATGGGATGAATATTATAAAGTTGGATACCTTTGCAAATGAGATACTTGAGCATCTCCTCGAATCCTAAGTAAGCGGCCATATTAGTTGCCCGGTCCATGACAATCTGCCACTCTTCTTTAGGGCATACTTCAAAGGTAAGGTCAATGCGCAATGACTCCGCAGTTGCTTAAATATAAATATTATAATGGTAGATACAGGGTGAGCCAAAAAAGGTAATCCAAACAAATCTTGATAACATATAACATTATCAGTATATTATGTATTCAATCTTGACCAAAATACTCATTCGGCCTATTAGGCCGGTCGACGGCAGATGAATTGGAGAAAATGTGACTCGGGCATTAATTGCGATTGCATTTGCTTGAATGTTAATGCAATTGCTAAAAATACATGCATTGTTACGAGTAAATGCACCTGATTTTGTAAAACCACTGGCGTAAATGAGACAATTTAACCGATTTTTACTACGATGATTAAAGAGCACTCCAAATAACATGCACGCAGATGATAAACACACAGGAACAACAATCAAAGCTTTACATTACAGTGTAGCTGTACTATTGCAGTGTTGCTTCTTTTTGTAAGAAATAAGCCTCTGGACAGAATTCATGCAATGGCGAGAGATACCCTGCGTGCAGAGTCTAGTTAAACTACGAAGACGAAGCTCTCTTTTAAGAAGTGAAGTCAAACGAATGCAAAGGGTAGGCGAAAGACGTTTTTAGTAATACTTTACTGAAGCACTGGTGGCTCCGATAGAAGGGGGCATGGACCCCCTTGAGTGTTCCCAGAAATAAATGTTGAATTTTGTAGGACCTCGAGTAGAGAGCCAAATTATCAAAAAATAATTTTGATTTGGAATGTGCACCCCCCCCACCCTTGTTAGCTGCTTGATCCGCTAGTGAGTAGTATACCTTTAACTGCCTCAATGGTATTATCCTTGACATGTTTCATGAAGACCTTGTACGCTGTACCCCTTGTGCTCCAAGTTTTCTCCCATGCTGTTTTCTTTGACGCACTGGCGGATCTGGGGGGGGGGCCCAGGGGCCCGGGCCCCCCCCCCCTTGGATGGGCCCAGAAAAAAAAATTTGTGCCCAAAACAATTTTTGAGCCAAAAAAGGCCTAAAGGCCCCAAAAAGTAGGCCTTTTTGGTCATAAATGGGCCTTCTGGGGCCTTATTTTTTAATTTTAGGTCAAATTTTGAAGAAAATGGGCCTCAAAATTTCAAAATTTGGGCCCACTTTTGGGTTTTAGGGGCCCAAATTTTCGGACGTTTTTTTCTCAGACCGGACGTTTGGGCCCCCCCCCCCTTGTTGGTTCCCAGATCCGCCCCTGTGACGGATTTCCCTCCATTATTTGTCACTTTTGCCAGAAATCCCTGCAAAGTGGAATTTATATTAAAAATCTACATCATTGGTACGTTAATCAAATTAAAATCCTAAAAACTATTTAAAATGAAAATAATCAGAAGTAAGCTTACTGGTGATATGATACGGCTTGCTTCTCTATAATCGGTCACTTATACTACTGGTATCACTTATACAGTCAATGGATCCTGTTACACGATCATTCTCAATTCCCAAATGGATATATTTATAAATTACAAACCAATATATAAAATATCACAACACTTTATTTTGAAAATTCTTTTTCAAATGGTATAAAGCAGAATTTAAAAAAACAATCAAGATAGAATAAGGGTCAACACTAATGGACTGTCTGGAAATATTAGATATTTGGGTATTCCTGCTGATTGTGGGCAGAAGTAATCGAATTAGCTTCAACCAAACTACTTTTAACACGGGTTGACCCAGCAAATGCTCGTAAATGGCTGAACGGTATCAAGGAGGATTGGCTCCCAGAGTGCACCACCGATATTCTGTCCCATATATGGGTATGTCGTAATACAAAATTCGAATTCAAACAGCCGCCATTTTGTTCACTTCAACATTTAAATCGTGAATTTTGGTCTTATTTCCAAACGAAAAATTCCAAAACTCACAAGAAATGATCGAGATATTGGTTCGAATCTTTTGAACTGTTTATTTTGAATTTATAGTCGGTTTTAATTTCAGAAAATAACGACATTTCGACGTTTTCATTGTTGGAAAATATCGAGTTTCGATCCTGGGAGCCAATCCTCCTTGAACGGAGTGTAACAAAGTATGAAATTCAACTCCTTATTTGAAAGCTTCTAGCTTCAATGACACGACCCATACTATATTGAGACTGCTTGATTTAATTTTGTTCACATCTAAGGGGAGGGATTTAGAGAATGGTGCAGGAATGGCTATATCGTTGTATAGCGATATATATCGCTATACTGCCTCTCATTGACTTACATGTGATATATTCGATATATATCGTAGATATATAAGGCTATATAAAATCTGGCCAGATATACTTCTCCAGATTTTATCATGTTCCTGGCATTTACCCATGACGATATACACGCTATATTCGATATGTATCCTCTTGCCAAGATATAGAGCGATATACACACGATGTATACGCTATATTTGATATATATATATATATCCTGTCTTTAAGATATATATCAGATATATATCCCCAATACATGGGTTTGTTGAATCAGTTCTTACAATTAGCCGTGATGATATACACGATATACACGATATATTCGATATATATCCTATTTTCAAGATATAGAACGATATACACATGATATATACGCTATATTCGATATATATCCTGTCTTCAAGATATATCGGATATATATCCCCAATACAGGGTTTGTTGAATCAGTTCTTAAAATTATTAATGACGATATACACGATATACACGATATATTCGATATATATCCTATTTTCAAGATATAGAACGATATACACAAGATATATACGCTATATTCGATATATATATCCTGTGTTTAAGATATATATTGGATATATATCCCCAATACAGAGATTGTTGAGTCGGTTCTTACAATTGTCCATGACGATATACACGATATACACGATATATTCGATATATATCCTCTTTTCAAGATATAGAACGATATACACACGATATATACCCTATATTCGATATATATATCCTGTGTTTAAGATATATATCGGATATATATCCCCAATACACAGATTGTTGAGTCGGTTCTTACAATTAGCCATGATGATATACACGATATATTCGATATATATCCTCTTTTCAAGATATAAAACGATATACACACGATATATACGCTATATTCGATATATATATCCTGTCTTAAAGATATATCGGATATATATCCCCAATACAGGATTTGTTGAATCAGTTCTTAAAATTATACACGATGATATACACGATATACACGATATATTCGATATATATCCTATTTTCAAGATATAGAACGATATATACAAGATATATACGCTATATTTGATATATATCCTGTCTTAAAGATATATCGGATATATATCCACAACACAGGGTTTGTTGAATCAGTTCTTAAAATTATCCATGACGATATACACGATATGCACGATATATTCGATATCCTCTTTTCAAGATATAGAGCGATATACACACGATATATACGCTATATTCGATATATAACTTCTTTTCAAGATATAGAGCGATAAACTAATGATATACACGATATATTTGATACATATCCTCTTTTCAAGATATTGACCGATATACACATGATATATACGATTTATTCCATAGTTAGCATGATATTCATAGGATAACATGTGAAAATAAAAACGGTATTTTTGTAATCATTGGTAAAATATGATATTTTTGACAAATTTTCACTTAACCATAGCATACAGTTTTTTAGCCATGACATACGGCGTCGTATGCGATGGTTTATGGATTTTTGCTACTTCAGACTCTAAACGACGCTAAGTGTCAACATCGCAGGATCGTTTGGAAAACTCGAATTAAATAACTGAATTTCCGTTGATTCTGATGATGACTTTAACTATGGAATAAAAAGAACATCCTCTATATAATCGATATATCCTATAGAGCGATATACTAACGATACATACGCTATAGTGACCGAGGGAAATATCGATAATATCCGAGAAAATATCGATATCATCCGAGGGATATTACCCATATCATCCCGACAGGTGAATAACGACCTTATACCATGGTCAAGAGCAACATCTACCCAAAATCTTCTGTTGAATGAGAGAAAAAAGGATTGAATCTTAAAAATATTTACGTTACATACACTCCCCTCCGTAAGTTTGGCAATCTTAGCTCCCTCATTGAACTACGTGTTAAAGCCTCTTTATGTTTGAATTTCTATTTCCATTACCTGCGAGGAAAATACTTATAATATTGATGGGAATGTAACTTAATTCATTTCCAATGCCTCCAAATGTTCCCAATTCTTTTCCTCAATTGCAATAGGTTGAAAATTGATGATAAATCTGATGAATTTTGGAAAATCGACATTCCCATGTAAACCAATGGGAAATGGTAGGTTTGCCGCAAGTCATATGACAGAATATTTATCCATCTGAGATCTTGCAAAAAATACAAGTTAGGTGGCCAAAATTGTATTTGCTTACTTTGTTTAATAAAAATTTGATATGTTTCCTCAGTTTTAAAAAGTTATAGGTCTTCAAAGTCAAATTTATTTTTCTGTTACTTAAGTATTCATAAAGTAAACTGAACACTTAGAGTACAAAAAGTAGACAATTCAATTTTCTATAATTATAAAAATATTTTAGGTGAGTCTTTTACTGGTTAGATACCCTGAAATCAGATTTGCCCCGAACCCACCATTTGCCATTGGTTTACATAGGAATGACGATTTTCACAAATTTATAAAGTTTATCATCAATTTTCGACCTATTGTGATTGAGGAAAAAATTGGGAAACCTTGGGGGCATTGGAAATGAAGTCAAGTTACATTTCCATCAATACAATAATACAATATTTTCAAAAGGTTATGTTAATAAAAATTCAAACAAAAAGAGCCTTTAATATGTAGTTCAATGAGGGGGTTAGGGTTGCAAAATTTATGGAGGGTATAACCTACTCCCAAGTACATTGAGAAATTAAGTATAAGGGCAAGAAGAACAAAATACTTAAAGAAATTAAAATGTGAAGATAATTTTAATCAAAAAATAAAAAATATTAAAAAAACTCATTTTTGGAAAAAAATGAATTTTCGGAAATAAATTTAATTTGTGAAAAAAAGATAGTACCTACTTGATATTTGTCTTGATATCAAGATATACACGATTTTTTGGAAAAAATGAAAAATTTGGAAAAAATGAAAATTTTGAAAATATGAAAATTTGTGAAAAACTGAAAAAAATTGAAAATGATTTTTTTGGAAAACATGTAAAAAAATTTAATATACCCTGATATCACCCCTCTAATCCTGAATATCTTGAAAAGAGGATATATATCGAATGTATCGTATATATGGTGTGTATATCGCTCTATATCTTGGAAAGAGGATATATATCGAATATATCATGTATATCATGCTTAAAAAATATAATAACTGATTTAACAATATTGTAAATTGGGAATATATATCCGATATATATCTTGAAGACAGGATATATATCGAATACCCTATTTTTCAAGCACGATATACACGATATATTCGATATATATCCTCTTTCCTAGATATAGAGCGATACACACGCGATATATACGCTAAAATCTATATATATCCTGTCTTCAAGATATATATCGGATATATATCTTCAATAAAGAGGTTTTTTAAAAAAAAGTTCTTATATTTATGGATGACGATATACACGATATATTCGATATATACTAGTATCCTCTTTCCAAGATATAGAGCGATATACACATGATAACGATATACACGATATATATCCTCTTTCCTAGATATAGAGCGATACACACACGATATATACGCTATAATCGATATATATCCTGTCTTCAAGATATATATCAGATATATATCTTCAATACAGAGGTTTGTCAAAAAGTTCTTATATTTATGGATGACGATATACACGATATACACGATATATTCGATATATATCCTACCCCAGAGATATATATC